AAAAAGTTTTATTTTCTATCGCCAGAGGCCAGTCAGCAGGCAAGGAAGGAAAAAAACTTTTCAGGCCCCAAAAAGTTTTATTTTCTATCGCCAGAGGCCGGTCAGCAGGCAAGGAAGGAAAAACAACTTTTCAGGCCCCAAAAAGTTTTATTTTCTATCGCCAGAGGCCGGTCAGCAGGCAAGGAAGGAAAAACAACTTTTCAGGCCCCAAAAAGTTTTATTTTCTATCGCCAGAGGTCAGTCAGCAGGCAAGGAAGGAAAAAAACTTTTCAGGCCCCAAAAAGTTTTATTTTCTATCGCCAGAGGCCGGTCAGCAGGCAAGGAAGGAAAAAAAACTTTTCAGGCCCCAAAAAGTTTTATTTTCTATCGCCAGAGGCCCGCTTCGTGGGTTGACGGCTGCAGAAGCAGTAGGATTCAGAGTTGCTCCAGAAGAGCATTGCATCTCTGCGATAATGTCAGAGATGTCACCACCCAAGCGCAAGAAGCGCAAAGACCGATCAGACTCAGATCCGTGGATCGTGGAAAAAAACTTTTCGGAAGCTGAAAAGTTTTTTTCCTTGGGGTTGGACCCTGGAAAGAAGGCCCACAAGCTACTTTCTTCCTTCGAATTAACGAGGTAAAGCCTTAATTTGCACCTGCAAATTAATGAACGAGGACAGTAATCATGGGGAACAAATTAAGACACGAGGGAGACGAGGTAAGAATTAAAGTAATTTGGCCAGATAAATAAAGGCACGCAGGCGCCTTTACACAGAGGTTTTACGCAAAGAAGTTTTACACACAGAAATTTCTATACACCGATGCTTTGCACAAAGATGCATTTACGCGCAAAAATAGATAGGCACGCAGGCGCTTTTACACACAGAACCTTTTACACAGAGAAACCTTTGCACAGAACAGTTTTTACACAAAACAACGATTTCGCAGAAAGTTTTGACACTGAAAATTTGCCCGCACAGACTGCGCAAAGAAGGTTTTACACACCGGAACTTTTACACGCAGAAACTTTACCCAGAGCAGCTTTTACACATAAACTTTTCCGCGTAGAAGCCTTTACACGCAGAAGCCTTTTTGCACAGCATTTTTTTTCACAGACCCTTTTACCCACATATGCCTTTACACAGAAAAACTTTTACACACAGAAGCTGCTGCACACGGCACGCTTTTACACACAGCCAGCTTTTACACGGAGAGGCTTTGCTTCCTCTTCTTGATCACCTCCTTTCGTGCTCCCCCTTTCAAGTGGTATAGGGAATATGTTTTATTATTTTGGGGGGTCCTTACGCAAAGCCAAGTTACTCGTACCGGATGGATTTGGCGGATATTCTCAGCCCCTGAGACTGAAACGCTGAAACCCTGCTCCTGCGAAGTTGGTTCCAAAAAAAACGGCCCCCATCTTTGGAGCTGAGCTGAGCCAGCAGCCAACATAAAAAAAAAGGGAAAGTCTTGACAAAATTCATTATTTTGGGCGCGTTTTTATGAACCCAAATTCCACCCCCTACCTGCGGCCTGTGGTAATCGTTTCTGCCACCTAGCAGGCGAAATCATCCATGTCATGCCGGCAGAGCCTGCAGAGAGGCGTGGCGGGTATGGCAGGGTCCGATTCGATCTTGATGTAAGTAAGTACTGTACATGATGACACTGGGTGGGTTTCCACTTTTGAAACAGAAAAGGCAGGGCCCCCGGCAGGGCCACAATTCCCAGAAAACGATTCAGAAGCACCCAGCGAGTGCATCTCCAATCCCCATCTCCACCCCCATCCAAGGAAGATTTGAAGAGTCCGGTGCCCTGCTGCCCATAGGACCTTCGGGCACCTAAATTCCGTGCCGCCTGTTCCCCGCGTGCGCGAGACCATGCCGGGGCCGGCACGCGGGGGCCCTGGAGCCGAAGTTTTGAGGGAGGGTAACCACCCAATTTTGGACATAAAGAGGGGCATGGCTTATGATAAACTGTTTTGTTTACGGCAGGAGCCGGTTAAGGTTACAGGGCCATGTTTCCAAGCAGCATTGCCGGGAGCACAGAATTGTCGTAGTACCACTCCACCCGTGACAACCTCTGCCTAAAGTTGGGTGGGACCCGCTTTCAGCAGCTGAACAAGATTGTTGGCTCAACATAGCTTAACCAGCATTGACCAGATGAAACAACAATTTCCGGATATCTTGTCATCTCAGGATATGCCAGGATATATTGCTAGCATTGACACCTATATAGCTGAAATGGACCACCCGCACTGATCTCCCCATCAGACGTGCTACCCGCTTCAGGCAGCTTTATTCACGGCCAGCCAGAGAGGACGGGCGACCGGCTTTCGTTTTAGGAGTTTTCAACATTAGGGGGAAAGGAGTATCAGTATCTAATGGTATCCACCAATGGCAACTCCAAGGATTGTATATAAACATATTTATACATGTAATGTATTGCACAAAATAACATATGCAAGCGCACACGTGGTCAAAATGCACACTTGAAATGAAACACAAACACACACACACATAGAGACAGAGACCGAGCCCGAGCCCGAGCCCGAGCCCGAGCCCGAGCCCGAGCCCGAGCCCGAGCCCGAGACGGAGACGGAGACGGAGACGGAGACGGAGACGGAGACGGAGACGGAGACGGAGACGGAGACGGAGACGGAGACGGACGGACATACAGACATACAGACATACATACAGACAGACACACACACACACATAGCAGGGATCGCCACACCCCCTCAGTCAGATGGTTCCCCCCTCCCCCCTGTGGCCGGGGGGGGTCCGAGCAACAACAGTCCTACTGGGCAGTGTTTGTGCAGCTGTAGGTGGTTGATGTCCAGTTTATAGGGAGTATAAAGACAGAGCATTTGGGGAGTTTACAGGGAGTACATATGTATATATTAGCATGTCTCTCTACCATGTTTTTGGGCTATCTCTTTAGGCACTGTTTTGCAATTTTTGTCCCTAACTTTTTGGAATTTTTGTCCCTAACTTTTGCCTCTTTGGGGAATTTTTGCCCCTAACTTTTGGGAATTTTTGTCCCTAACTTTTGCCTCTTTGGGGAATTTTTGTCCCTAACTTGTGGGAATTTTTGCCCCTAACTTTTGCCTCTTTGGGAAGTTTTGCCCCTAATGGCAAAAGTTAGGGGCAAAAAATCACCAATTAAAGGACCGGATAACCCCACAAGACAATTTCCTCCAATAATAAGCGCCAAATGTTGTAGCGGGGATGGGGAAGGAAGGAAAGACAAAGGAGGTGGTGGAGGATCGAGAAGTAAAACAAAATGGTGTGTGACAAAGTTGTACGTGAAAGCTGGTGTGTGACAAAGAAAGATGGTGTCTGGTGTGTGTGTGTGTGTGACAAAGTTGTGTGAAAGATGGTGTGTGTGAAAGTTGCGTGTGACAAAGTTGCGTGTGAAAGATGGTGTGTGACAAAGTGGTGTGTGAAGGATGGTGTGTGAAAGATGGCCTGTGACGGTGTGTGAAAGATGGTGTGTGAAAGATGGTAAGTGACAAAGTTGGTGCGTGACAAATTTGTGTGAAAGATGGTGTGGTGAAAGATGGTGTGAGACAAAGTGTTGTGTGAAAGATGATGTGTGAAAGATGGCCTGTGACGGTGTGTGAAAGATGGTGTGTGAAAGATGGTGTGTGACAAAGTTGGTGCGTGACAAAGTTGTGTGAAAGATGGTGTGTGACAAAGTTGGTGTGTGAAAGATGGTGTGGTGAGAGATGGTGTGTGAGAGATGGTTTGTGACGGTGTGTAAAAGATGGTGTGTGACAAAGTGGTGTGTGAAGGATGGTGTGGTGAAAGATGGTGTGAGACAAAGCGGTGTATGAAAGATGGTGTGTGAGAGATGGTTTGTGACGGTGTGTCAAAGATGGTGTGTGACAAAGTGGTGTGAAAGATGGTGTGTTGGTATGTGACAAAACAAAGGTGGATGTCGCCAAGTGCCATGCCTGCCACGCAAAAAAGGAAGGTGGATGTCACCAAGTGCCACGCCTGCGACGCAAAACGAAGGTGGATGTGGGATTGTGCCACGCCTGCCACGTGAAACGAAGGTGGATGTGAGATTGTGCCACGCCTGCCACGCAAAGTGCCGCGGCGTCATCCGCGACCAAACCGGCCCAAGCGCGCCACCCAGTCCCATGAGTGCCACGCCTGCCACGCAAAACGAAGGCGGATGTGAGATTGTGCCACGCCTGCCACGCAAAACGAAGGTGGATGTGAGGTTGTGCCACGCCTGCCACGCAAAGTGCCGCGGCGTCATCCGCGACCAAACCGGCCCAAGCGCGCCACCCAGCCCCATGAGTGCCACGCCTGCCACGCAAAACGAAGGCGGATGTGAGATTGTGCCACGCCTGCCACGCAAAACGAAGGTGGATGTGAGTTGTGCCACGCCTGCCACGCAAAGTGCCGCGGCGTCATCCGCGACCAAACCGGCCCAAGCGCGCCACCCACCCACGCCTGCCACGCCGAGGTGGATGTGAGATTGTGCCACGCCTGCCACACACAGTGCCGCGGCGTCATCCGCGACCAAACCGGCCCAAGCGCGCCACCCAGTCCCATGAGTGCCACGCCTGCCACGCAAACGATTGTGCCACGCCTGCCACGTGAAACGAAGGTGGATCATCCACGACCAAACCGGCCCAAGCGCGCCACCCGTCCCATGAGTGCCACGCCTGCCCGCAAAACGAAGGTGGATGTGAGATTGTGCCACGCCTGCCACACACAGTGCCGCGGCGTCATCCGCGACCAAACCGGCCCAAGCGCGCCACCCAGTCCCATGAGTGCCACGCCTGCCACGCAAACGATTGTGCCACGCCTGCCACGTGAAACGAAGGTGGATCATCCACGACCAAACCGGCCCAAGCGCGCCACCCAGTCCCATGAGTGCCACGCCTGCCACGCAAAACGACGGTAGATGTGAGTCTGTGCCACGCCTACCACGCAAAACGACGGTAGATATGAGTTTGTGCCGCGCCTGCCACGCAAAATGCCGCGTGAGTGTGTGTGTGAGTGTGTGTGTGTGCGTGAAGGTATTGTATGTTAAGTTTGTGTGTGTGAACGTTGTGTGTGCGAAAGTATTGTATGTGAAATTATTGTATGTTAATTTTGTGTGTGTGAAGTTATTGTATGTGAGAGATAGTATGTGACAAAGTTGTGTGTATGTGGCAAAGTTGTGTGTGTGTGTGTGGGAAAGTATTGTATGTGAAGTTTGTGTGTGTGTGTGTGAAGTTATTGTATGTTAAGGACAAAGTTGTGTGTGTGTGTGGGAAAGTATTGTATGTTAAGTTTGTGTGTGTGAAGTTATTGTATGTTAAGTGGGAGGCGGCGGGAGGAGGAGGCGGCACCCGGGATACAGAATCAAAAACAAGAACCCCACACAAAGTTGTGGGGAAAAATTAGGGACAAAAATTCCCAAAAGTTAGGGACAAAAATTCACCAAAAGTTAGGGACAGAAATTACCAAACTTAGGCCAAACTTAGGGACAATAATTACCCAAACTTAGGGACAATAATTACCCAAACTTGGGGACAATAATTACCAAACTTAGGCCAAACTTAGGAACAATAATTCCCCAAACTTGGGGACAATAATTACCAAACCTAGGGACAATAATTACCCAAACTTGGACAAAATAGCTCTAAAGAAAACGTGGTAGAGCGCCATGCTAATGTATATAATATATATAGTATATGGGCACCCCGTGAAATGAGTCGTATATAGGCGCGCTATGACACATGTGTAGGGCGTAAGAAGTATATAAATTACATAGGCAGCCATGAAGCAGTGTATACCACACAAAGGTGTATAATAGTTGGGCAGGTATAAATAATGTAAATTTATGTGTTTATGTATGTGTGTGTACATGTATATATACATATATGATATATATATGCAATATATATACATATATGTAATATATATATATAGATGTATAAGTAACAAATATATATATATGTAATATATATATATATATGTAATATATATATATATATGTAATATATATATATAAATGACATATATTTAAAAAAACATCCCGCCGGACCGGAAACCGCGGGCGTAAAAGCACGGTTTTGTTTGGTTGGCATGAGCATGGCACTGTGGCGATATAGATATATATATATATATATATTCAGATACATTTACATTTATAAAGGTAAAGAGACATCTACATATACAAGTACATATATGTATACATAATTTTTACATTTATACATACAAATATACATACATATACACATACATAATTACATACATACATACATACATCCATACATATACATACATACATCAATCCATAGATACATACATACATACATCCATTCATACATACATACATATATGCATACATACATACATACATACGTACATACATACATACACACATACATACATACCTGCAAATATAAAATAATATCAATATATACATATACAACTGTATAAGCAAATTACACACACACATATATATATGCACATATCCACATATACATGTATACACTCATATGTACATATATACATATTCCTGCACCCTACAAATACTACATACGCATGTTTCATAGTGTGACTATATACTACTCATTGCATACTGTGCCCATGTAGATATTACATATGTAGCTAAATAACTATATATAATATATATATACACACACCATATTTTAATATTAAATGTATATATATATATTATATTTATTCATATATACATGTTTCAATATATTTGTCTATTATATATATATATTATTTTTATTATATATAAATATTATGTATATACCATTTATTTTAAATATAATAATTACATATTTATATAATAGATATGTGTTTGATATTTTATACATGTTAGAAATTTCAAAATATTTTGTAATTAATATATTAATATCATATATATAAACTATTTTACATCATAAGTTTTGCAATATTATATAAAATATGTTTTATAAAATAAATTTGTCATATATTTTTTAAATTGTATATATACATATTTATTGTAAAAATAACATATAGATAGTATTATTTATTTAATATTTATTTGTTATTTGTAATTATTTATTTGTATTTCATATTATATATATATTACATATAAATTATATTTAATATTTTGTTTTTTTTAAATATGAAGATATTATAAAAAAATAGATATTATTTCAAATATTATTTATTTTATGTATTTTGCATTTATATATTTCTAATCGATTTATATTTTTTATATTTTATATTTTTTGTATTTGATATATATGCATTCAAGAAAATATTATACATATATATATTCATTTTGTTAAACAATATATATATATATTACAAATATATATATATATAAGAAAATATTTTTTATAATATAAAATATATATATAATATTTTTCTTTTATATATCATATATCAAATATTAGATATTATATCAATAGTTTACATATTATACATATTATATATATATATATATATTTAAAATACTATATATATATATTATGCATATTATATACATTATAGATATGCGCTATATGTATATATATATATATTGTGTATGCATACACACACATATATATTTGTATTTATACACATTATTTCAGAATGAGCTGCCGATTTAATGTCATATTTTGGGAACTTTGCTGGTAACTGTGTCTATGTAGGGACTATGTGGGAAACCACGCTGGGAATTATGCGTTGATATTATTCCATGACTTTTCTTTTGAATTTAAGTCTTTCACGGTTCAGTGATGCAGCCACATAAGAACGGAGAGGAGAGGACCAAGAAACCAAACACCGCAGAACTGCAGCTTGAATTCCGCCGTTCGCCTGGAGATACCTGGAGTGGCACAAAGATCCCAGACCAAGCTTTGTAGCCACCTCCACACAAGATCTGCACGCTGGAAAATCTTATTTTTCTTCTTGTTCTTGACCTTCTTGCTCTTCTTGTCCTCCACAGATTTCTCCTTGGGCTCCTTCCGTTCCTGGCCCTTGTCCTTGTCTGTGCTATTCTTTGAACTCTTTTTCTCCTTCTTGCCCTTGCCGGGGCGGTCTTCGTCAGCTCCATCTTTGAGATGCTTTGCCACCATCTCCTTCGGCTTGGCAGGCAGCTTTGCAAAGTCAAACTTGCACATGTTCTGGCAATGCTTCTGCACCGTGCTGAGATCAACGCCATCCTCAGTGACAATGAAGAAGCTGCTGACCATGACAATGGCCGCAATGGCCCCCGCTTCAGAACAAAGCTTTTGGACTTCCGTATCAACCAGCTTCTTGAACACAGGCTACCACCACCTGCCGGCAGGAGAATGGCACTGCTCCATAGGTAGCAGCCAAGCTTCCGAAGGTGAGCCAATTCCATGGTCTTGAAGCACCTCCTTGCACCTGCCGCTGGTACTGCCTAACGTTGCTTTCTGAAGTCTCAAGAAACAAGCTCTAAATGCAGCAGCCAAGCTTCCAAAAGTGAGGCTTTGCGAGAGCCAAACACCAGGGCCCCTGGTGTTTGCTTTTCCTCTGATGCGCCCCCTGCTGATGGCTGGGGTCTGCAGATAGGGGTATTTTCCCGACAGTTCCGCGAAAGTTTTGCGAAAGAGTGGGCGAAAGTCAAAGTGCATTTTGACGGGAGTGGCCCAGCAAGCCTGGCAAAAAATTGCCTAATCAGAAACAACTTGTCCTGAGAAGGGGATTCCGTGATGCTAGCTGCATGTTTACAAGGCTGTGAAGAAGTTATCCGTGATCATTTTGTGTGATTTGGCAGGTGGTGAATGAATCTTCATAAGAGGAGTTGTTGCTCAACATGCGTTCCGTGAAAGATAACATGGCGGCCGCGAAAGATTCGCGACATAATTTTTTATTCGCGAAGAATGGCCGTTCCCGGATAAAGATATTTTGATCAACAACCACATACATGCATGAGTGCATACATACACACAATCACACACATATTATATATATATAGATAATATTTTATTTATGTATATGTATATGTATATACATACATAACTTTATGTTCACCTCTCCCCTTAGTTCTAATGTTTTTTAATCTTGAAAAAAAACAAAAAAAAGGAAAACACATGGAAAATCAAAAAGCAAAACTTCAAAACCGAAAAAAACAGGAAGCAAAATAAATGGGAAAACAAAGGAACGTCAAAAAGGGTGAAAAAATGGGGAAAAAATGGACTTGTCCATTTGCATTTCTGTTGTTTTTTTTTTGCTTTTTCGATTTGTTTTTTTGCTTTTATTTTGTTTTTTTTTGTTTTGTTTTTTGCCTGGAAAAAAACAAAATAAAAGCAACAAAAAAGCAAAAAAAAACAAATCGAAAAAACAAAAAAAAAATGCAAATGGACAAGTCCATTTTTTCACCCCTTTTTTTCTTTTTGTCTTTCCATTTTTTTCGGTTTTTTTTTCCCCTTTTATTTTGCTTTTGGGGTTGTTGGATTTTGCTGATTTGCTTTTTGGTTTTTCCATTTTTTTTGCATTTTTCGCGTTTTTTTTCAAGTTTAAAAAAAATAAGAATTAACGGTGGTTTGGTGAACTTAAACATAACTATCTACATATCTTTGCACTTCTCCAGGGCCCTCGGCAGCGGCCACGCGCGAACTTTGTCGCCCTGCGGACCGCGAAGTGACCATCTCCGGCTGCGCGAGACGATCCCAGCGTCGAGCTGTGGCAACTCGGAGCATCGAGGTGGACACCAGGGGAATACAGCCATCAGATGATGGCAATACGTCAAAAACCATCAAGTAATTATAGGCCTAGTTTGGGAGTTAGCTTGGGCATTTCTTAGAAGTTTTCTCCTTTCTCTTCTTTTGAGCAGAAGAATCGGGAGACGATGTGATTTTCGTTTGTGTTTTTTCTTTTAACCTCAGCCACGGACCCAGGTGGCTTGGGTCATGTGAGAACCTGGTCACCTTCAGGACTTCGTGAGGGGCCAGGTGGTGGCCCCAAGAAGATGCCACATCAGCCGATGGCATTCCAAAAGATGGAGATATCATGTGGAGGAAAAGATGCCACACGTTCATAGTTTTCATCATTGTTCACATATGCATACAATAGTATACAATATAGCCTATATAATATCTAATGCATATGTGTGTGCACAGAATGAAGGAGGCAGAACTAGAAAGAAAAACCATAGTAAACCAATCTACACACGTCTAACCCTATCGAAAAAAATGGTGAAAAATGGCACCAAGGAGCCAAGGAGTTTGAAATATGTTGAGATCTCCCATCACCTGTCACCATCCTGATCCAATCAGCTGGGAAACTCAATGTGCGGTGTCCCGTTGGGACAGAATTCGCCAGGCCTGGCAGGCAATTTGGTGCGGCCAGAGAGGCGGGAGTTGGCCAAGATCTTGGGATTTAATGGTTAAATTGGGGATGTAACATGATGTAACCAGAAGAAAAAGAAACGTATCTGAAAAATCAATGGGTTGATTCGAAAGAATTTTTTTTAAAAGCGAAACTCAGGAAATCATGGCGTTTGCGATAAACAAATACGGTGGGTTGCCACCAATTTTCCCAAACGAACCATTGATTGAATTGTCCCATGTAAAAATAGTACCTCCCATTCCGCCAAACTCATTTTGTTGGAATTTTGAGTCAACTAGCCAACTCCCAGATCATCAAGCTGCAACGTTTGAGATTTGTCCAAAACTAAGACTGTAACATCGCAAATTTTGATGTTCCAAACCGCAGGATTTTGTGGGTTTTTCCCAGCAGTTTCAGAGATTTTCTTACTGGTGCTGAGTAATGGCGGAATGATCCACAACAACTATGAACCATCATTTAACCACCTATTAACCATCATCCCATTCCCCCCATTCAGATCCATTCAGCACCAGCAAGGTTTTTCCACCGATTTCAGGAGTTGTCAGCTTCGTGCCCGTTCACCTGTGGCATCGGTACAGCAGCTGAGCAACTTTCCAGACAGGTGGGGAGTGTCCAGCAGCCTCTTAGTCCAGGTTTCTTATTGGTTTGATCTCTTGTTGGTAAAGTATGGTGAAATGTAGTTGTCTGGGTAAATTATAACGACCTCACTGCGACCTCACTGTAATCATAGTTAGTAGGGGAAATGATCCGCAAATGGCCTTAATTTAGGTTAGTGAAATATTATATTTTACCCAGAGTTATGTAAGTACATTCCTATACTCTTAAATATTGTTTTTTTGATAACATGTATGTTGTTTTGCCAGAGCTTCAAGTAGGGGTGATTGCAATCGATATCATAAGGGTCATCAAGCGCCTTATATTAAAGGAATGCATTTTCATGCATGCAGACAGACGTGTTTGCACGCAATGACATACCAGAAATGGTAGTAAGAAATGGCTAAGATTTCAATCATCCCAATTTGCATGGCATTGGCTCCGCCACATTCAGGGAACCTCCCATTAAATAACAGATACCCCTGCAAAAGTCTCAAAGAAATCCCTAAAAACCTGACAGGTTTTTACCCCTTCTAAATCATCAAATCCCAATTTGCATGTCCATATCAATTCCATATCATGTATATATAATATATATATATTGTGTCCATGTCGGCGCATGATTTCAATGTGTTTCCACATAGTTTGCTTATATTTCGCTGTCCCTGCATGTGGAATTATCATGACCTCACTGTGACGTCACTGGAATGGTGATTCATAAGGGAAACCATCCCACAATAGCCTTACTCAGGTTATACAGTGAATTATTCTAATTCATCCAGCTGCATGGACTGTCCCATAACTTTCATTATCCATACACCATCCATATATCGCCAATTGGTTTGGGCTTCAACCCGCAGGCATCTTGAAGGTTGCCAGACCCTGGGCCGCTTGGGGGAGGGCCCTGTGCGAAACGTGCATGTTGCGCCGCGAAGTGAGGACCTCAGGGTGGCTGCAGGGGGGGTTGTGATATGCCTATGGCCTATGGGTGCCTTAAGGGCGGCTTAAGTTGGGATAGCTGGATGACTGCCGGTTGAACATTGCCCGGCCAAAATAGTTCTTTAACAATCCCATCCCCCGAATAATTCTGAGAGAGACCCCCATTCTATGGTGCCAGATATGTGTAGATCTTCTACTAAACCATGGTTTCTGGGGGTTGTTTAGTATTGGGGGGAAGGGATTACTATTTTTTGAAGGGGTTTCTTTGGCCAGTTTTGGGAAGTCTATGGCAACCCACTTGGAGTTGTGGGAAGGCTGCAGCTCACTGAGAGTTGCTTTTTCACAAGCGGGCCCAACCACAGGTGTCCTTGTCCGACAAATGGATTTGAGAAGGAAACACCAAATTTTGGTCTCAATCCATAGGTAAAACTGTCATTAATTAATCCTTTCTCCCTAATATTAAAATATATTAAATACCCACTAAATGGTTCCGAATATGTGTAAACACCTTACTAAACCACCATTTCTGGAGGGCGTTTAAGATGCTGAGGCATTGCCGTGCCCGCTGGTGTTGAGCGCGGCATTATGGGGCCACACTTGGGAGGGAGGCGCGGAGGACAGGAGACTTTGGGAAATAGGAGTGCTGAAGTCACTAAGCTGGCACATCTGGGCATGAATTGGACGTAGCTATATATATATATGTATATATATAATATATATATATATATATTCGTTACATATGCGTGTGTATATGTAAGATTGCGTGCACAATTTTGACACGCACACATGGTTGGATGGATAGACATATGAATTATTGGAGAGAGCGATGGAGCGTCAGCAAGATATATTATATAGACAAATCGACAGATAGACAGAGATGTTTGCATATACGTTACATATATGTTATACTGTGTAAATATCGCAGGTGATTATGGTAAGGGGTTTAAATCTAATTAAATCCCAGTGACCAAGCTCAGCAATGATTCCAGTGAGGTTAGCGATGAAGTTCTCCCATGGCTTTCGGGACATGATCAAAATGTGGATTTTTCCAAATGTTAGTATTTTACTGGAGGGAAAGGAATCTATGACATTTTGTATCGTTTTGTTTCGTATTTTTTTCAAGCACCATTTCAGGTACCGATCCGTCATTTTTGAAGCCACATCTCCAGTTATTCAATGCCTTGCATATGGAGTAAGTATGGTATATCGGTGGTATATCCCCTTGCATATCTATGGTATATCCCCATAGATATCCCAGAGATTGCCAATGCCTCGCAGTTTCATTGCTCCGGTCCAGCCACCGTCGGGAGACCAATCCGATGAACATCTGGGAGAGTTTCAGTTTTTTTGAGCGAACAACGATCTCAGTGCAAATGATGATTTCAGGTTTGCGAAAAAATATGCATACAGTAATTAGTTTGTTTTAATGCGTTTTTTTCCTCCAGATTCTTTGAAGGGAAACCCTGGAAACTCCAAAATGTTTTGGAGAGCAAATCGTAGAAAACATCTAACTTTCAATTGCCCGCTGTGGATCCGAGCTAAACACTTGCTGCAACCACCACCATGCAGCCTCTTTCACACCTGTCACTGTTGAGGGGAGCTTCTAAGAGAATCTTATAGATCTTATAGAACTCTGTTGGCATGAAACCCAATTCTCCGGCTTTCACGTGAGAGTTGAGGGCTTCAAACTCGTCGTTTCATCATTCTGCAGAATGTTTGCCTCTTGTGCCTACACATAGAGAGATGGTTCATGTTTCTGCAATTTGGTGAAGGTTTTGTGTCATCATCCATTTCCTTGAAATATGTTTGATATAGTTTGATCTCTCAGGAGTATTGCCTTTTTACACCAAATCATCAAGAGATACACATGTTCGTTTCTCTAGGATGTGCAAATCATTTTAGGTTTGAAATCATAACCCAGGACTTCATAAAATCCACACCGTTTTACACGTACCAAGGCCCCAGAGGATTGAGCGTGCTGCATCCTTCACCCACATCGGCATGCCTGTCCACGAGGAGGGGCACAAACATACGCAACCAACGGGTTGATTTGATAATGTTTTTCTGTGTAGTAATATGTGGTAAACCCCACGCTAACCCCTTGAATTCTTCGATGATTAACCGGTGAACTACCGCAATTTGATCTGGGCAAATTTTTTGGACGGTTTATGGTTCAAATTATATGTGTTAGCCATGTTTTTTTTTGGGGGGAATTCCTGGTCATTCATCCATTGGTGAATGGTAGATGGGTCAATGCTTAGCCATGCCGGGGTCAGAGTAGAAGAACAGATGTTGACCATTGTTGGGCAAAACCAATTCGTCTATTCTGAGCAACACAAAAACCAACAGTATGGGGGTAACCAATCTTTGTTTTCCATTGTTTTCCCAGTTTTCTTCGGAAAACATGGGGAAAACCATTGAAAAACATGGCATACTATTGGAAAATCTATGGAAAACCTATGGAAAACCCATGCAAAAGATGGGAAAAGCAATGGAAACACTCCACATTTGACACAGATTTCCTCAGGTTGGGGTGAGACCTATGCCAGGCTGGGTGAGCTGAAGTTGTCGAATAGAAAGCATGTGCTTGAAACAACACGGAACACTAGCTAGATTCTACATCTATATGTATGTTTGCATTCGTGCATATAATGTGTATATATAGACACAGTACACACACACATATATATATATATTACATATATATATATATTGCATACATGTATGTATACTTGCATATATATATATATGTGTACATTTTTAGATCTACATTTATCATCATTTATCTCTATGTTTAGTTGCACATATGCACGCACCATCAGCCAAGGGATGCATCATGATACACTGCCTGGCCTCTAGTAGCTAGAAGGCCAGGGAGGTTGTGACCTCGAAAAGCAGCCAGTCCAAAAGGAATCCCAGTCCAAAGACATCAAAAGGATACCCGCCCTCCAACTAAACATAGACTCCGAATGTGGGTTGGAAGACTACTCTCATCCTAAGGATGGGCGGTTCTCAAGGTCTATGCTAGTTGCGGGATGGTAAATCAAATCATATCAACACAAGTGTCAATCACTGCAGTGTGGCGAACCCAATGGCACAACACGTTGCCCGTTTTCATATGCATATTGACCATGACATACCAGACATGGGATATGAAAAGCACGGCCACCCCCGAAACGGGGGTTTATGGGTTTACCAGATGATTCATTTTGTACTTTTAGATCCCTACTTATCTATTGGCTATATCCCCATGTATGGTTGATTCATGTTGATTTAGCCCCTTTAGTTATTTCGTTATATCCCAATTGATCAGTGATATCCCATGATATCCCAGTGACAGAACAGGAACAGCAATAATTGATGGGAACTACGGTTTCGTAGACATTTTCCCTTGTAGCAACCACCAAAATGATAGACATCTCAATAGTTGAATGGGAATCTACTGGTACACCAACCATTGATATCCTGTCCCCCTCTCGCCAGGTTCCCCATTGCTGACCTACAGAGAACCGGCCCACCCTGGGAGGATGCACCGGAAACCATGGTTTTGTCAGCAAATTGGTTGGTTTGTCCTTAAGGGAATACTCTTCTATTTCACTATCGGCTATGTGACTATCATTGTATGACGTTGCATTGTTGTATCCATATCAGTCCATTCTTTTTTTAACACTTGTGTTGATTTTGATAGATATATTACACACACCTAAACTTATTGATATAATACATATTCACACCTGCACGTGCACACACACACAGACATACATATGTACATACAACCATCGTTTATGTTATATATAAATAAATATATATATATATATGTTTTTTCTTTTTGTATCATAGATATATGTGGACATGCATATTCATTTCAAAAAAGCAATAGCCATGCTCATATACATGTTCATATGCTTATACACGTGCATATTTATTTGCATATTCAGTTGTATAATTATACGTGTGCTTCCGTATGATTATGCCATACATTTCTCTTCATGTGGATATAGAAATATGTGCAGTGCGATTGTGGGATGAACACGTGCTGCTGAGTCGATATTTGTTGATCCCTCCGACGGGGTGTTCACGCGCAGACACACTGCTGAATGTGCATTTTGTATTGTTTTTTACAGTGTTTTCTGCTTCTCGACAATGCTGCCCTGGGGGGGGGCAGGAACAACTGTTTCTTCGAGTGATGTTTTCTGCCTTTGTCCATTTGCACTGGTTTTTACAGTGTTTTTCGCGCTTTCGCGCTCTTGTTTTTTTGCACCATCTGCGTTTTCCCTTGGTTTTTACAGTGTTTTGAGGCTTCATGACGTTGCTCATGCTACGCCACGCTGGGGTGGGGGGGATGTTAACGTTCCATGTAACTTGCTCACGTTGTTGATGCTACGCCACGCTGGGGTGGGGGGATGTTAACGTTCCATGTAACTTGCTCACGTTGTTGATGCTCGCCACGCTGGGGTGGGGGGGGATGTTAACGTTCCATGTAACTTGCTCACGTTGTTGATGCTTCGCCACGCTGGGGTGGGGGGGATGTTAACGTTCCATGTAACTTGCTCATGTTGTTGATGCTTCGCCACGCTGGGGTGGGGGGGGATGTTAACGTTCCATGTAACTTGCTCACGTTGTTGACTCAGCAAAGATGACAAACCAAGTCGGCCGCGCGTGAACAGGCCGTCCGACCGTTGTTGATACGCACATTCCACATATTCAATATTTAGTCGCATATGTATACATATGTATATATATATATGCCATATGTATACCATATGATCATATGTATAAGATGTATGCAAGTATCTATCCACATCTGTCATCCAACTACATCAGCAAGAATGTAGAAGAACAAACCCTGAATTTGTGCTATGTATATATATATATATATACTATGTATATATATATATATATGTGTGTGTGTGTGTGCATATCCGAGTCCACAGGCAAGACATGTAGGAGTCTTACCTCAGTTCAGAAGCCCACGCCGGACACGGGGCAGGACTGGCTCCTTTGTGGCAACGCCTCTTGGAAGGCGCCGGAGCGCAGGTTTTCCGATAGTACCAAAGGGTTGGTTACAGGGAACATCTTAATCGAAAACCATGGTTCCCACCACTAAAGATAATCGTAGGTGTTTCCTGCAGATAACTTTTTTCACTACCAAAATGACATAAAATGACCAAATGATTGAAGTAGAGAATGATAATGAAATATCATGAATAATAAGGGAATGATCTAGGAATAACATAGGAATTGGTCGAATTTTGAACCACTGGATGGCCTCCGGTGTTTTGAAAAAATGGCCATTTTGGGAAATCCCCGGATCGCCTGGCGCCACTGTTCTATCGCTGGATGATGAATTCCAGCCATGGAGCTGATGGCCAGAGGCTATGGCTGTCCCTGGATGTACTTAAGTGCAGTCTTGTGCATTTTCATGTGTTTAAATCTGTTTTGTTCACATGTTTTAACATGTTTTAACCACCTCAGACTGCTCAGATCTATGCATAGAAAACACGCATTGAAACAGGTTTTCTGTCTGAATGGCAATTTGTTTGAAACAAGTGCACAAGGAGCAGCATTTCGCCATGGAACGGCTTGATGTTCCAGCACGGCCCTTGCGGCCTTCAAAATACCATGGCCATAGAAGTAGTTGCTTTACTTACTCATTAAGAAATGTGATATTCTATAGTTATGTTAGTTTACCAAAGGGTATGTGCACATGTCACTTTGGGTAGGGCTTTTCTTTGGCCCGCCTTTCTGTTTCATTTTGTCGCATCATGGTGCACATGACTTACCCAGAGGGTGGACACTTGACATGAAGTGGATTGCCCAAAGAGAATTGGCATGCCTTTTCCAAAATTGATGTAGTTTCTTTAACTTAGGACTACTTACGGATATATTTGGGACATTCTCTGAATTTATGGGAAAAACATGGAAAAACAGAAAGCGCTGGATTATAAAACACAACATAATTCCATCAGATTTTCCCGTAAATCAAATCCACGCATGGGGAAATATAGAGGTTCAACCTTCAGTTTTCTTAGTTCTTAGTCTGTGTTGGACAGGTTAAATCCCAATTGTTAAACCCCAGTTATTTCTGGTTACCTTCTGGTACCCTCTGTTAGACTACACAACAGTTTGCTATGAACAATCGCAATCTCCAGTAGGTAAATCATCGGGCCATCTACTGTATACCATAGCTATGTTAGTTTACTGCAGGGTAAATCTCAAAAAAAAACACGGAACCTCCAGGCCCCAGCACTTCCACCTGCCCAGCGCAGGCCGGAGTTGCAACGTGGCGGCTCACCACTTCGCATGCGCTGGTGCGCCAACCTCGGGGAAGGGTAGTGGGCCTTGGCATTTCATACCCAGCCTAGGGATGCCTAGGGCCTAGGAGGTGATAAGGAAAACGAAGGGTATCGAAAATGCAGGGCATCTGAATATGTATTGTGGTAGGCGTAACAAGACCTACCATTTGGGGATGGTTTGATAGCCCACCCATTTGTGCGAATATTGGCGATGGTTTATTGGGCCTAAGATTAGCCATGCTGTTGAGGCAGCTTTGGCCTAGAAGCCGTGGATCTGTAGACCTTGGGGAGCGCGGATTCCGTTCTGCTTCGCTGCCAGCGGCATTTGAGGCTGAAATCATCTGACATCTCCATCTTCATCAGTCTTCATAGGTGTTTGTCTGAAAATATGATCCTACCCCCCCAAAATTCCAATAAGAATCATCCTGTTCCAATCGGGATTATGATCATGTCTCCATGTTTATTAGAGATTACCCTCTGGTAAACTAACATTTTGCTATGGAAAATCACCATGTTTAATGGGAAAATCCAGCTATTTCTATGGGTATATATGCTAACATTGGGGGTATATTGATGGTAAATGTTACCAAATACAGCATACATGGATCCTATGGGTTAGAGATTATATCGTCATAAAATATGGGGCGTTTTCGCTACCATCCGATGGTTATCCGGTGATCCCCTCCTTGCGTTGCGGCGCAAGCGTCGCAATCTCAGGGAGAAGGATTCATGCCGGGGCCGCTGGTGCGGCTACCGCCGGTGCTGGATGAAGGGGATGAAAAAGGCAGGATACCCTCTGGTAATTTGTTACATAGCTATTGAAAATGGTGATTTATAGTGGATTTTTCCATTAAAAATTGTGATTTTCCATTGCTATGTTAGTTTACCAGAGGGTACCTATAGTTTTCTCATGTTTTATATACGCATAAGAATGTTTGACAAAGATATTTAAGGTTGAATAAGTTGAATCTGATGGGCTTTTCTTGAACTATGAAACTTAGTTTCCATCCTGGGATGATCACTAATAATGATCATAGTTTTCAGGGAAGTTGAAACTGCAGATCCCCATAACATGATATAACATGTAGCATAGCACCAAGGGTTGACACGGCCCCTGCTGCAAGGATGACACGCACAACGACCTGTGCATAGCCGTTTTTCGAGCTCAAAAAGCAGCACAGAGCTGCGGAAGCTGCCCTGGGACCTGGAGGTTGGTGAGACCCCCAAAGGATTCTTGGGTGAACCATAGCCGCGAAGCTGTGGTGGGATTCACTGAGGGTCCCAAATAGCCCCCAAACGGTTGGTGGACGAATAGGTTACGAGCCCAACCTGACGCCATGGATGTACGGAGAAGGAGATCGGAGCCCCAACCTGCTGAGGGTGCTGAAGGGCCCGATCATGGATCCCAAGAGGGAGCCGATTCCAAAGCCCGCGAAGGTGATGGAAGAAGACTGATGGCGATTGAAGACGCCGCTGATGCTGCCCGAAAAGGTGAAGCCAAGGAGGACGCCCAGACGGGAGCAAGATTGAAAGATTTCCCAAAGGGTGAAGCCAAGGAGGACGCCCAGCTGGGAGTAAGAACTGCTGCCCGAACAGGTGAAGCCAAGGAGGACGCCCAGACGGGAGCAAGACCAAAAGATTTCCCGGGTGAAGCCACAGAGGACGCCCAAAAGGGAGTTGATGAAGGAGCCTCGAGGACGACAGAAGCCCCGAGGACTGGCGGGAGTGTGGTGCCAAATGGAGGAGAGGGTGTTGGGGGTGGGGAGACGCCAGGGAGGTCGTTTTTCACACCAACGGCAAGGGGAGGGAAGGTCACAGAGACCCCCAAAGAAGTAGCAGTCAGGGGACCAAGGGGGAAGCCTCAGTCCTTTGGGCCGCTGTTCACCCCTGAGCAAGCAGCCAAGATGGATGCGCTGCGAGCCCAAGCCCCACTTCTGGACACAGCACGAGCCAGAAGAGAATGTGAAGAGGCTGCAAGGCCGAAGTTCCTGGAGGACGCACAGAGCATCCCCGGGGTTGAGAAGTTCCTGGAGGAAGCACAGAGCATCCCCAGGGTTGAAGAGATGAAGTCCTACGAGCGAGAACTCGATAGGATGCATGGCTTCATGGATGATGTGAAGCTTCGAATGGCAGAGCAGCAGGAAGAGAAGACCTTGCTGCAGAAGATGTTGTTTGAGACCGCTGAGAACGAAGCTCACTGGCGCTCAGAGAATGCCGAGCTTCGCAGGGTGGTTGAAGACTTGAGGAGGCTGAGACCCCCAGAAGATGAAAGGAGGCTGAGACCCCCAACTGAGGGAAGAAGGCCGACGCCCCCACCAGGAGTTGATGTTGAGGACAGGTGGATGAAGACACCGTGTCCGCCCCATGAGATCGCCATCCACACGCCGCCTTCACCCCCGGAAGATCCCTTCGCCACGCCAGAGGAGCCCAGAAGTGAGGAGGTCAAGACCGGAGGCAGAGATGGAGGAGCGGGTGGTGGAATTAAGGAAGAGGAGAGAGAGATGTCCATGAAGGCACTCTTGGCAATGATGAGGAACATGCAGGAGATTCAGAAGAGGATGCTCGAGAGAGAGCTGAAGGATAAGGATGAGGAGAAGGGATTGGCAGGAGGTGTGGAATGGGTGCGGGGACAGCCAGAACTGCCTCGTCTCCCACCATGGCATCATGTCAATGCCCCCATTGACCTGAATGACTGGCTGTCGTTGGTGGACCCCGTGATGTCAGACCTCACAGCGACGAGCCAGAAGTGGTGGCAGCTGCTGGTCCAAGAAGCCCAGGCATGGTATGCCACCCACCAACAGATGTCCCCGATGGAAAGGATCCATCATGAAGCCCTTCCCAGCAAAGAGCTGGAAGACCCAAGATGGACGCGGCTTGAGCGCCGTGCAAGTATGATGATGCTGCAGGCGGTGCCAGAGGCACAACGTGAGGAGCTGGTGAGCGCCAAACGCCTGACAGCGATGAAGGTGTTGTGTCACCTGCTGGTGACATATCAGCCAGGAGGATTGGCTGAGAAGGAAGTCATCCTCTCCAACCTGGAGAACCCGCCTGAAGCACAGACGGTGCCAGATGCACTGCAAGGGCTCCGGAGATGGATGAGATGGAGAAGAAGAGCAGGTGAGATGGCTGTGTCCGAGCCAGACCCGTTCATCTTGCTCAAGGGGCTTGGCAAGGTGGTCAAGAAGAGCCTCAAGATGAACAAGGAGCTGAGCTTCAGAGTGAGCCTGGCAAGGAACAACCTTCAGGTTGACAGCAACCCCACATCCAAGTCGGTTGGTGCATTTGCAACGCACCTGATGGCCGAGTTAGAGCAGATAGCACACCTTGACCCCCACACCGGCATGCCCAAGAAGGCAACCCCCCCCGAGAGAGCAGAACCCCCTGAAGCAGGAGCCCAGGCTGAAGAAGCTCGAAGGGAAGGAGGCTGGTGGAGGATACAAAGGAGATGGGAAAGGCAAGGGTGCCAGACCCGGAGACGTTTGCCGTTTCTTCCTGACGGAGCACGGCTGTAAGAAGGGCAAAGATTGCCAATGGCAGCACCAGGTTGATGACCAGAAGAGGTGCTGGAACTGCGGTGGAAAAGACCACTTTGCAGACAAGTGCCCAAGACCTTCGTTCAGAAACCCCGAAGGGCAGAAGGAGTCCAAGGGTGAAGGAAAGGGTGCACGAAGCTTGAAGAAGAAAGATGAAGATTCCCCAGATGGGAAGAAAGAGAAAGAAGAAGAGAAGCCAAAGAGAGAAGATCAAGATGCCGAGAGCGGCAAAGGACAGGTGATCAAGGAGTTGATGGAAGAAGCCAACAGGATGCTCAGAAAGATCACCAAAGAAGCAGACAGCAACAAGGAGACGAAGATTGACCAGCTCCAGAAGCAGCTGGATGAGCTGAAGTCCGTCAAGGTCCTCAGACTGGCAAGACTTCAAGAAGGAGGTGCCAGAGGCCTTTTGGACTCAGGCGCAACTCACCCATTGAGGGGGAGGCGCGAAGGAGAGAAGATGAAGGGCTACAAGGAGGTGACAGTCTCCCTAGCCGGAGGAAAGGAGGCCACACTCCATGTGACCAAGGAAGGCATCATGGTGGCCAAGAACCCAGGCACAGAGCCAATCGTGCCAATGTGGATGGTGGTAGATCTTCTGGGATGTAGGGTTTCCTGGGATGAAGATGAAGTCCGTGTGACACATCCCAAGAAGGGGAAACTGGAGGTGGTTCTTCGTGGAGGATGCCCTGAAGTTTCAAGAGACGACGCCCTGATGCTCATCGAGGAGATCGAGGAGAAGGTCCGGTCCATCAGGCCGAAGACACCACATGAGCAGGAGGAGCAACAAGCAAAGCATGAGGAGATGGAATGGTTACAAAGGATCCTGAAGGAGCACCCAGCCTTCAGGAAAATCCCAGAAGATCTGAGGAAGAAGATCCTCGAACCACCAACAGATGATGTTGCCATGTGTGGCAATCGAAGACAGAGGAAGAAGTGGGCTAAAGAAGGCCTCATTCTGCATCTCTATGCAGGTGAAGACGAAGGGTACACCTTCAAACGTGCCTTTCATGAAGTGGGGGGAGACAAGAGTTTGGTCCTCGAGGTGGACTGTCTCAGAGACCCCAAGTGGGACATGCTGCCTCAAGGCAAAGCATTCCCGGCGCTGTTGCGCTTGGCACTCAAAGGTTGGCTGAAGATGGTCATGGGTGGACCCAATTGCCGTACAAGGAGCGTCTTGCGGCACAGGCCTCTCGGTGAAAAAGAGTGGGGACCAAGACCCCTGAGGAGTTGGCATGAAGACCAGGAATGGGGGAGGAAGGATCTCACCGAAAAGGAGAGGCAGAGGGTCGAAGAAGATGACATCCTGATGCTCAGGATGATCATGCTGTTCATCGTGGCGGAAGAAGTCCGGAAGGTGAACGGTGTGAAGACACCCACTCAGTTCGCCATCGAACAGCCAGCGGTGCCAAAAGAAGAGGAGGTGGTAAGTTGGTGGAAGACTGGGATCTGGAAGATGATGGTGAAGATTTATGGCTTCAAGGAGTCCACCTTCGACCAATGGAATTGGGGAGGCAAGGCTCACAAGCCGACGACGGTTGGAGGAACCATTGAAGTGGAAGCTCCACCAAGGATCCCAGGAGGAAAGAAAAGGGAGGTTGAAGGAAAGACCCCAGAAGAGCTGCTGAAGGAATCAAGGCAGTTAGCCCGATGGGCGCCTGGCATGATGAGAGCCCTGGCAGAGCAGGTGGTGGAGAAGGTCTGCGGCAGAAAGCCCAAGATGAGACCACTCAGCTGGGACGAGCACGTCCGCGCAAACCACACACCCTTCAGAAGGGATTGCCGCATTTGCCAAGAAGCCATGGCAAAAGCATCACCACACCGCAAAGCAGGACATGCCAGAGCAGGGGTGCTCTCCCTAGACCTGTCTGGACCCTTCAAGAGGGCCAAAGACATTCTCAAAGGAACTCACGCCAAGTTCCTGCTGGTCGGGGTCTACACGTGGATTGATCCACGACCCGGTGGCCACCCTGCCCCGGATGAAGAGGAGGTGGAAGTGCCAGATGAAGCACCAGACCTTGAAGAAGGGGATGGGGAGGTGGATCCAGAGAAGAGGCCCAGAGGACGGCCAAGGATGACCTGGCGATGAGAAAAGAAGAAGAAGAAAGAAAGAAGTGGAAAGAAGAAGGAGATGCCGAGAGAGCGGCAGAAGAGGCCCAGAGGCCACAGAGAGGAGAGCCCATAGAGGGTGGAATCTTCAATGACACAGATGAAGAAGAGGCGGCGAGAGTTCCGGCCGAAGAAGATGCAGGCAGGGTGAGTGAGCCCGAAGAAGACGCTGGCAGGGTGAGAGAGCCCGAAGCAGCACAAGCAGATACAAGCAGGGTGAGAGAGCCCGAAGCAGCACAAGAAGACACACACAAGCAGCCAAAGCCAACAGATGGCGAAGAAGAAGAAGACGATGGCGGGGTGAAGATCCGATACTGCCGGATGGTTCTACCCATAGCGACGAAGCTCGCTGAGGACATTGTAAGAGCAGTGCAGCTCTTCTACCTCCGCTTGAGGTCTGAAGGTTTTGTGGTGAACCAGATTCACACCGACAGAGGTGGTGAGTTTGACAACGTGAAGTTCCAGAAGTGGTGGGAAGCCAGAGCGATCTTGAAGACATGGACGCCTGGAGATGACCCCCAATGTAATGGCCGATGCGAAAGGGCCGTCCAAGAAGTCAAAGCCAAGATCAGGGTCATGCTCTTACAAGCAGGCCTTGGAGTTGACCATTGGCCGCTGGCCGCAAGACACCTGAATGAAGCACTACAAGTGGCCCGCCAAGACAAGAAGATTACTTGGCCGCCATTCTTTGCCAAGGTGCTGGTGAGGAAGCGCCACTGGCGATCACAAGAACTGGAGCCATCACAAGAGATGGTAACATACCTTTTCCCAGCATGGGAGTCGCACGGGCACTACATCCGTGATGACCAAGGATGGGACCGGCTGTCAAGGACGGTGATGAAGAACGTCCAAGAGCCCATCACCGATGAGAAGTGGATTGCATTGGAGAATGAGACCAATCCTGTCCAGGTGAGAAGAAGGCTAAGAAGCAAGATGACAGTTCGGCAGTTGAAGGCTCCCAAAGAAGAGGAAGAGGAGGAGGAAAGACGCGTGAAGATGAGAAGGATCCAAGAAGTGATCCGAGATGAGATGGGCAGAGTCATGGAAGATGACGAAGCCAATGTCCACATCACCATGAAGGAGCTCTGGAAGTTGAGGAAGTTTTCAGAGGAGGAAGCTCCAGATGAAGTGCTCCAAACGAAGGTGGTGGGGATGCAAGAAGTCAGAAGGGACTTCCCCAAATGGAAGGAAGCGGTGGAGAATGAGATCAGGTCTCTGTTTGAGACGAAGGGTGCTCTCAGGAAGGTTTCGCCAGAGGAGATGGAGGAGAGGAAGAAGAAGGGCGAGTTGGACATCATTCCGTCCAAGCTCGTATGCACCTTGAAGCCTGATCCCACCAATCCAAAGGGGAAAAGAAAAGTCCGAATTGTTGCCTGCGGCAACTTTGTGACGGCTGAAGGAGCTGACAAGAATGAGCTCTTTGCGTCAGGCTCAGACGCCATAGCCGTGCGGCTGGCTGTAGATGAAGCAGCCAAAAGAGGATGGTCCGGGAAGTCAATGGACATCCGAACGGCGTTCCTGAATGCGCCAATGGAGCTTGATGAGGAGGCAGAAGAAAGGAAGCTGAAGGAGAAGGAAGAAGGAAAAGGGCCAGAGGAAGGAAGGATTGAGGAGCTCCGAGCACACAGAGTGCTGGTGAAGCCGCCGATGTTTCTCATCCAGATGGGACTCGCCAAGCCTGATGAACTGTGGGAGGCGGTGAGAGCCTTCTATGGCTTCAGGGAGTCACCAAGAAGATGGAGTGACTTCCGGGACTTCACCATGAGGAGGTTGAAGATCCAGACCGAAAGAGGGGTCAAGCTCAGGTTAGAGCCCCTGGTCTCAGAGCCCAATATCTGGAAGGTGAAGGATGAAGACACCAGCGAGATGAAGGCCCTCCTGGTCGTCTACGTTGATGATCTGTTGATCCTGGGGGAGACAGAAGCCCTGGAAGCAGTGATCGGCACGATCAGAAGCCTGTGGGAGACAAGCCCACCAGAAGAGATTGATGATGAAGCCGGGGTGAGATTCCTCGGGATGGAGCTATGGAAGCTCAAGAATGGAGACTGGATGGCCACCCAGAGAGGGTACACCTATGACCTGCTTCAGAGGAACCTGGGGAAGGATGAAGCAGGATGGCCAAAGAAGAAGGTGCCAGTGGGCCGAGAGTGGTTCACAGGGCCGGAGGAGGAAGAGAAGAAGATTGAAGACGTCCGTGAAGGACAGAGGATTGTCGGGGAGCTGATGTGGCTGGTGACGAGGAGCCGGATGGACTTGATGTATCCAGTCTCACTGCTGGCATCAAACATCCTGAAGCGACCGAGAGAGGTCAAGCAGGTAGCAGCTCAAGTTTGGGGCTACCTCGCAGCCACAATAGATGATGGCCTGCTCTTCACAGCCAAAGATGAAGAAGAAGGGCTCCAAAGCTTCACCGACGCCTCCTTCGGAGAAGACTGCCAAGGGTGCTCCATCGTGAAGGTTGGAGGATCACCCATTGCTTGGAAGTCAAGCAGACAGGGAGCGATTGCCCTGTCTACCGCTGAGGCGGAACTGGGGGAGATAGTGGAAGGATTGGTGCTGGGAGACTCAATTCGAGTCGTGGTGGAGGAGATCAAAGAAGATGAGGAGAAGATGCTCCGCTGCACAGCACTCACAGACAATCAGGCAGCGACCAGCATCCTGTCTGACCCCCATGGCAGTTGGAGGACGAGATACCTCCGAATGAAGGCCAAGAATGTGAGATGGAGGATTGAGAAGGCAGACTGGATGGTGATCCACGTCCCAGGGGCACAGATGCCTTCTGACATGGGGACGAAAGCCCTCTCAGCCCAGAGGTTTGAACTCCTGAAGAAGCTGGCAGGCATGGCAGGACTGCCAAAGAAGGAGAAAGCCCAAGCCAAAGCTGAAGCCAAAGCTGAAGCCAAAGCTGAGGAGACAGAGGAGAAGACAGAAGGGGCGAAGACGATGAAGGTCAAGGCCCAAACAGAGGAGAAGCTCAAAGAAGGAGCGAAGATCCTGCAGATGATCATGCTGATCTCTCAGCTGACGCAGACAGAAGCACAGCCAGGAGATGAAGAAAGAAGGCCATATGGTCCTGATTGGACCTTCCTGGTGCTGCTGGCATTTGCAGCACTAGGCCTGGTGGCGTGCATCCGCTGCACGGTGTTCTTCGTGCAGTGGCTGATGGTGAGGATCCGCCTAGCAGAGGCGAAAGACCGCATCCGAGCACGGCATGCGAGGGATGTGGAAAGACAGCAGCAGAAGGATGAAGAAGAAGAAAGAGAGGAGGAAGAAGCGCTGTGGCGAAGAGTGGCAGAAGCCAGGAGTAGCCACGCCGCTGAAGCGAAAGCCCAGCCAAAGAGGCGAGCAGCCAAGGCGAAGATGAAGCCGAAGGCGAAAGCGAGGGCAGCAGAAGAAGAAGAAGAAGAGGAAGAAGCCCGAAGAGATCGGGAAGAGCTGCGACAGAGGCTGGAAGAAGAAGAGGCAGAAGGAAGACTGGCAGCAGCCATGGCCAGGCTACCCTGCCACACACCCACAAGCAGGCCATCAACAGGCCAAGCAGCATCCTCAACACAGAGGATTCCACACACCCCAAAGGCGACAGCACCAAGGGTCCCACAGACACCAAGGACGGCACCATCAACATCATGGCCGACCACATCGCCCCTGCGGAGGTCTATGGCATGTGACCTGGGGTTTGGCCGTGGAGCAGCCAGCTCCGCTACCAGCAGCATGCCGCTGTTGGGTGGTGGGATGATGATGGAGGTCGAGCTCGACCCAAATGAGGAGCCGGCCAACGTGGTGGGAAAAGGCGACCTGATGGCTGCCAAAGGAAGAGCGAAGGGAAGCCGAGATGATGGTGGAGGTGGAAAAGGAAAGAAAGGCGGCGGCGATGAGGGGTTTAGGCCGATAGTCACGCCGTGGGGCACAAGGTTCCACACCCATAGGTTCTGTCCGACGCTGGCGAACTCTCGGAATCTCACGATGTCTCCATGGTGCGTTGCCTGTGCACCGGACGGAGTGGGACTGAGAGAACCAGTGTTTTGTATAGGGCCTGGTAGGACCGCTCATGCCAACGGTGATTGCCACCCCAGTGCCAGACAGTACCAGATTTGTAACATGTGTTTGGAAATTGAGGAATCATGAGGATTCCAAAAAACGGCTTGAGCTGGGCAGATGTTTTGTAGGGGTGCTCCGCTGCCAGAAGCGAGCATCCAGCGATTTTCAGAGAGGGTGGCTGCCTACCTGGCGATAGCCATCCAGGGGGAGTGCAGATCCCCATAACATGTAGCATAGCACCAAGGGTTGACACGGCCCCTGCTGCAAGGATGACACGCACAACGACCTGTGCATAGCCGTTTTTCGAGCTCAAAAAGCAGCACAGAGCTGCGGAAGCTGCCCTGGGACCTGGAGGTTGGTGAGACCCCCAAAGGATTCTTGGGTGAACCATAGCCGCGAAGCTGTGGTGGGATTCACTGAGGGTCCCAAATAGCCCCCAAACGGTTGGTGGACGAATAGAAACAACCAAATAAAATATGTGTTTTAATATTTTCCTTGTTCCATAGAGACACACACAATATGTTTTTTGGGTGTCTGGAAAACGGGTTATAGCCATAAAATGGCTATCGTTGGATTTTTGGGCACCGTTTCTTAAGACAATCGTACATATATATATATTTTTTTTTACTGTGTATATTATATATATTATTATGTGTATATGTTATGTTATGTTATGTTATGTTGCGTGTAATGTAATGTAATGTAATGTAATGTAATGCATGCATGTATGTATAAATAAATAAATATGCATATATGTAAATGGCACCAGTCATTGTTTGCAATATGTCAAGTCTTGGGGTTTGACCAAGACTTTGTTAGGCAGGACCGAAGAAAGACAGATCAGACATGTTGAAGATAAAGATGCCCCCTTCTCCGTTGAACATCCCCTCAGCTACTGTAATCAAACATGACAACCGACAATTCACCATTTATAGAGGATTTTTAGAGGATTTTCCTATATTTTCCTATTCAAACCTTCATTTTTCTGAGGGATTTCCCAGCTAGCCGTGTTTGGTTACTGGCACCTGGAAACAATAAGGCTTGGCTGGCTCGGTTCGCCTGATGTTGGACCCTGTGACCAGTGAGGAGACGCAGCTTGGCATCGATAGGAGGTGCCATGGATCTAGTTAACTAGTATGGGATATATCCTTCTGATATTTTAAATGGCCATGGACATACTATAGCATCCTTAGACGTTAACTAAAGGATTCTAAGTGGATATAATTGGCTTATAGTGGTTTAAAACCCAGTTTCTAACCAGGAATCGCGAATCCCATGGACCATCTAAGTAACGTTTGGGTCTGTCTGAAAATGGGCCATACCCACAAGGTTGCAAATGGATATGGATATTTTTGGTGCTATGGAAACATAAAGATGAACATAACATGTGTGCCCTATGGATCCAAGTACTTGCTGCGGAAGTATGTGGGCTATGATTTGGGGCACCGTCCCTTCTCAGGAATTGTTTTTTTGGCACCGAAATATCCACGGTGAATCTGGCGACAGTATTCACCCCCTCCGAGCCCCTCCTATTCATCCCAAATATGGGTAAATTCCCTACGAAACCAGGGGTGTCTAATATTAGGGGAAGGAATTATAGGATGGATAATAACCATATGCCATGTACCATATTTTGACAATGGCGCATATAATAGGGGGGCCCACACCAATGAGCCATACCCAATTTGTGGTCTATAACTTGGGTATGTCCTCACTTTGGATGGTTTATGCTAGCCACCAAATGGTTTACACTTGGGTATGGTTTACTGTACTATTGTGGATCTTCTGTAATCTTGTACATATCCCTGGGGATATCCCATACAAGATTACATGGGTGATCCTACTTAAAGTTGTCCCCACTCTATAGTGTGCTAAATTGGTTTATCTAGCTGAAGTACGATTCATGGTGAATATACATATAAATATGCATCTGTATGAATATATAGAAGCCTGTATGTATGCTCTGTTCTATCCACAGTTGGATAGATGAAAAACCTCACCCAATGTGCAACTGGTTTGCACACCAACAGACGTCAGGGCAGAATCCGGAAATGACCGATGTCTTTTGGGGCTATGTTTGCTCGAATTTCTGGGAGCCCTCTGCTTGCCGACTTGGTCTTTCCTTTTCAGTTTGTTGGTCCATCCCGGTCTCTTCTTGGGTTTTGGATGGTTTTGGTGGTCATTACCCTCTGGTAAACTAACATTTTGCTATGGAAAATCACCATGTTTAATGGGAAAATCCACTATTTCTCTGGCCATTTTCAGTAGCTATTTTGACATAACCAGAGGGTATCAGGTCCCACCAATTGGGGTACCAGTAGTACCTGCAATACATGGCCAAGTTAGCGCCTTTGTTCTGGGTCCTCCGAACTCGTCTCCCAGCTGAGGCAATACGTAGGCCACTTGGCATCGTTGCTGGCGGGGCAGGCAGCCAGTTGGATGGAGACGGGAGGCTCCAGCGATTTGTCGTAAACATATCTCTGGCAGTGAACCATGGCAATGGACAATCCACCATGTACCCTCTGGTAAACTAACATTTTGCTATAGAAAATCACAATTTTTCATGGGAAAATCCACTATAAATCACAATTTTCAATAGCTATGTTAAATTACCAGAGGGTATAGATGAGTTCCTCAGTAAAGGCCCTCAGTTCATGGGAAGATTTCCGGGCCGGCTTGGTTTTATTTCCCAATATTGGATTGGTTATATCCCATTATCCCATTGAATGTGCCAGTATTACTGTAAGTGTCATTAAGTTCCATAAAATTCCATGAATCTCCATTTATATCCATTTATATGGCAGTGTGTCAAAACCTTGTACCCCTGTAGTTCAAATCAAAATAGCTGGTAAATGGATGTTCATCCCCCTAAAAATGGTATTAATAGGTATTGATCCATACCCATATCCCCTTAAAATTCATGAAACAACCCCATTAGTTGGCTGACTCTCCACATCGCTATGTTTGGGCCCGGCCCCTGAGGCATGGCGCGCATCTCCAATCACGTGCGTCAGCAAGTCCCGCAGGGAGGTGCACTGCCATGGCGTTGCTGGGGATCTGATGGACGATTTTTTTCTCCATAGATTTCACCAATAGGAATTTCATGGGATATGAATCGGGAAAAACAAACTGATATGAATGGGAGATTCATGAAATTTAATGAACTATTAATGGGATATTGACGGGATATATTACATGATATATAGCCCAAAAAAACTAGGCTTAAGCCAGTTGATGCTAGAGATTAGCCAACCAGAAATGGTTTTACCGTGGGGGGTCACAAACATTGAGGGTGCGATGCCTTGAACATTGCTCTTTTGTGGGGATGTAGCTATTGAAAATGGCCATAGAAATAGTGGATTTACCCATTAAACATGGTGATTTCACATAGTTATGTTAGTTTACCAGAAGGTAACCCCTTTGAATTACTGAGATCATCATTAATGGATCCTAATATCAGCTAAAATCAATCCACTGGGCCTCCAGAGGTATCCAGTTTTCGCCTGGAAATCCGAGAAATGCTCAGCGTCACTACTGAAACAGTGTTCGAACTACACTCTGGTTATTTAACATAGCCATGGAAAATGGCCCATTTATAGATGATGTTCCCATTAAAACCTCCATTTATGAGGAATTTTCCATGGCTATGTTAAATAACCAGATGATATAGTGAAAAAACTCCAGTTGGAGAACTGTTGGTTGGCACAACTTGACGCATTAAAAAAGTTACTAGACAGAAACCCCAAATATATCCTGGTTAAAAAAACATTGGTTTCTGTTAACATTTCCCTTAGATCAATGTTGGCTGACCATTGCTAGCTCTGACTGTTTCCTCCAAGATTTTTCTCTGATAAATATGACCATTTCCCTTATCAATAGTTGGATATCCCCAGTTTAGGGTGTTAAACTGGTTCCATCCCCACATATATTCATATGTATTTAAATTCATACATACAATCATACAATGTATATATATATGCATATATGCATGCATATGGTGTAGTATACAAATGTATACAATACAATACATATATATAATATAATATAATATAATATAATATATATATATACATGAATTATATACATGCATATATCATTAATATATAAATCAAAACCACAAAGTTTTGATCCCTTCAAGTCCCATCAATGGCAACTTGTGGCGACAGGTGTGGTGGAAACTGCGGCGCCGCTTCGAACACATTCGACGAAGACGGGGATGAAGCCGGCCATTTTTGTTGGGGATGTGATTGGATATACCCTCTGGTAATTTAACATAGCTATGGAAAACCCATTATAAATGGAGGTTTTATTGGGAAAATCATCTGCAAATGGTCCATTTTCCATAGCTATGTTAAATTACCAGAGGGTACTGTATGTATACACATGTACAATATGACATTTTAAGAGATATCATATTATAATATAATCTTATATATATATACACTTACATATAGATATAAATTGATATAACATATAATTTGGTAATTTTATATATAGATGTGTATGGTTTCCACCAAGAAAACAGGTTGTGTGTGTTTTTTTGATGGTATTTACAGTGTTTTGAATAACCAACATTATACGTTTGGGAACATTCACCACTAATCAACCAATATAATAGGAAAGGAGGTATATACAACCAACACAAAGATACTTGGGACTTGGGTGTGTCTGAAAATGGGATACAGTATACCCACACGCGGCAATTTCAGTAGGAAAAATGGTACCGGCAGATTTTTATACAGGTACTGTATCCCATTTTGAGACAAACCCAGTAGCAATCACCCTGGATAAAATCGATGAGACTTGGATATTTGGGTAGATAAACTTGTGACAATTGTGACGGGCAGTTGGATACTTGCACCCTATGCCATGTCTGCCAACCAGCTACAAACATGGCGGGTATCCAAAATTGGCCTTGACCATGGGGAATGGGATCCCATCCAGGATTGCGCTTTGAAGAGATGATTCCAGGCAGGAGTCACCAATGTTTGCTAGGGACAGAAAGTTGCAGCCGAACAGCTGTCCTTGAAGAAGCTTTTGGATGACTGGGTTTCAGAACGAAGTGGACTTCAACATCATGATGATGAGGGATAAGGATGGATAAGGCATGATAAATGACGGATGATGATTTTTTCTGCTTCCTGCGGGCTACAAACAATCTGTCTTCGCCATGTATCACCATCGCTTATGACCAGCCAAGATCTTGAAATGAAACATATGAAACCCATGGCCCATGGTTTAGTAGGAAACACATGTCTGGGACCATAGAATGGTGGTGGTTGATATGAACGGGTGGTTCCCCCGGTGCGACAGGCTTCACACAGAGCTAATGTCTTTAGTTCGGAGCTCGCGCAGATCGAGAATCCTCCAAGCACAGGCCTCAAGCGCAGGAAAATTGCAGAAAAGTACGTCCAGGGTGGAGATGACGTTTGTAGAATCATTCCCGGTTTCCAACTCCAAATGTATTTACTTATCTTTTCTGGGGGGGTTGACATTTATGGTTCTGCGATGCTATTTCTGAGACCTTCCTACATTTACTTCGGCTGTGGAGGTGGAGAGTGCGAGCGTCTCTAATTCATGTCAGCCGACATTGCTGTGTGGAAATGGGTGTGTCTGAAAATGGAGGTCCTACCCTCTGGTTATGTCAAAATAGCTATTGAAAATGGCCATAGAAATAGTGGATTTTCCCATAAAAAATGGTGATTTTCCATAGCTATGTTAGTTTACCAGAGGGTACCCAGCAAGTCATGGATAAAAAAACACCGCTTCACCGTGATTGTTTTTTGGGTGGCATTTTCGAACACGCCCACATGTGCAAAACAATGATTTCAATGTGTAGGCAATCTGCAGGCAAATGAACTGCGGACCGGAGTCTCTGGTTGTGGCGGTGCTGAAAAGCTACGGTAAACATGGTAAACTATAACGTAGCTATGGAAACTCTTCATTTTTACCGCATCATCTATATAAATGGGGAGTTTCAATCGCTATGTTAGTTTACCAAAGGGCACCATGTGACAGTGATGCAAATTTGGCCCATGGTGGCATTAGAACCACTTTTCAAGAATAAGATTTCATCCATTTCCTCAGTTCAGCACCCGGCCGCTGGTGTAGTGTCCTTTGGGGTCAAGTAGTCCGGAATGAAATGGCACAAGTTTGCGCAGACATTTATCGCATGTCATTCCGCAGAACAGTGCTACACACTGTGGACTCTATCAAGTTCCTTCATGTTCAGGTACTGTTCTACCCCAGCATTTCGTTTGATTCGTCCATGCATCGATCTCCGTGCACAACGCAACCAATGTGAGTCTTTGATGGCGGTGCTTGGACGTTGGAGACTGGCTGCTTCCTCAGTTCCGGAGATCGCATTGAAGTGGCTGTCGAAACAAAACCCAGGTTGAAATCACGAATTTCACAGACTTCTAACTTCTAGTAGAACATGTTTGGTGGTCTAGAATTCAATGTGCTTGTTCAAACACCATCAATCCACCCAAAAAAGAAACACCATGCAACCCCAAATATGGGATGATAATTTGTCTATTGACTTTCCTGTTTTCCATGGGCTGCTTGAAACCAGCAAACAGCAGTGTTGGTTAAATCCCATTCTTGATGGTGATAATTGATAATACAATATTTCAAATATATTTCATGCAAATACTCATTATATCTACAGTATAAGCTCCCATCATAATTAAATCCCATATAATTATATATATATATATGCATGTGTCCGCATATTATTATTATTGTTATTCGGATTGTTCTATTGTAGTCCCGGTACATCCAACTTAACAATATTGGCATTACAATAAGTTGCTATCACTATAATTGGAGATAATGGGACATAATGGGGCTACATCCACAGTCATTGTATTGTAGCCATTAGTCTCATTGTAGTCATTATCCAAATTCAATTATGTCAGTACAGCAATAATCAACATATATTTCATGGTTTATACCACCCATTTATGGTAAGATTGGGGATGGTGGATCCTATTTCTTTACTAACATTACCCATTATACTGTAGGGGAGACTCACATCGATCTGGCAAACCAACCATTTCTAGATGATTAAAACCTAGGGTGTCCCCATAGCTTTTCCACATCTACGTTAGTTTCTCCTGGGGTAACCACATCCGCATGGTGTTCATGGGCAATAAACAGGTGCTGCTCTGGCTGTGGCCATGCCTGGCAGCCTCGCCGAAGACTCCCAACGTGGAAGTCACCGAGAACCAAGGCCAGAACTCAAGTGGGCTAAGCAGCTATGCACAGCGTGAGGATAGATGTTGGATGCTTTTGTTGATGATGTGATGCATATGTGATTCATTTGTGATGTATTGCGATATCTATGTGTGATGTGTTTGTCAGATTTGTGATTGGTGAAGAGTTCTGGTGATTCCTGGTGAATTGTGCCCAAGTTCATGATCATGTCTGATGTTTTGGAGCAATCTTTCCAGATGTGTGATGATTCATGAAGAAGTTGGCATCCAAACGGGCACGAGTTGCTTTTGCGCTGTTTTGTGAACTGAAGCCAAGTACACATATAATATCTAATGCATCATATTATATCTAATATATCTAATATTGCCAATCTATCTATATAATCCATCCATCCATCCATCCATCCATCCATCCATTCATTAATGTGTATCTGTACATATCTATGTATATCTATCTATCTATCTATCTATCTATCTATCTATATATATATAGAGATGCATTTCTTTTGTGCAAGTCGCACTCCAAGACCACTGGCCCTGGAGGCTATGCTGCTGGACAGAGCGGCGAGTGCGGCCGAAATTTTAGGGATCAGAGGAGTGACAGTTTCCATATGTAATTAATGATCCATATGTAATTTTGTATTAATGATCTCAAATTTAGTGACATTACTGTAACTCTACTCCATTAATGTCACTTGACTAGATGATTCTCCCATATTTTCCCGCGGAAAAATTGGATTTTCCATTGCCATTTGGGAGATTGCCAGAGGCTGGTCTCCCTGGGAGGATAAGAAAACCGGATTAGGTAAATTAAGTATGGGTATGTGTGGGTTTTACGTAACCCGATATAAAAACTGGTTGGTGCTTTGGAACATGGCTTTTATGACTTTCCATATATTGGGAATGTCATGATCCCAACTGACGAGGTCATATTTTTCAGAGGGCTAGGCTCAACCACCATCCAGAAAATCTCCATCGCGCCACTGCCGGACCAGCAGGTATGGCTCAACTGAAGTCCAGTTGGGACCGGCGATCCATAGGACCCATCCACCCATCTGCAGGTACTTCAGGTACAAACACATGTTCTACAAGAAACCCACGGAAGAGGACTTCGAGAATGCCCAAAAAGTGGCACAGGAGGCAGAAAATGATCCGGCATTTTGGGTCCTTCTGGCTTGAACAAGTTTGAAACCACTCACCCTTGGCTGCAAACTACCGATTAGCGGCAGGTTCGTTGCCCGGTGTGCGCCACATGCTTAGTGTCCCAGTTCCACAAGAAGATGGGGAAGGGATTAGTGTTGCAGCTATTGGCAAGTTGCACAGTGAGGCTCCAGCCGTTCAAAAATGTTCAAATGCACAGCCCCAAATGATCAAATGATGTGGTCCCAAAAATTGAAACATTACACTCATTACACAATGTGCACCTACACTAGAAATGTGCATCTACACTATCACATTTAATTCAATATACCCATATGCTCCATGTATGCAATATTTGCCAACATTTGCCCTAAAAATCAACCAGTTTTGTAGGTGAAAATATACCATACATGGAGCATATGGGATAGACATGTATTCAAAGAATATCTACAGGATTTTCCAACCCAGATTCAGCCGAGGTCCACCTCCTTCGTTCACTGCTGAGCCGCGCGCGGTCCTACAGCGAGGCCTGGATGGTGGAGCCGGATGGGGGATCCCAAGACCTGGTCCTACAGCAAAACAGGAAGACCAAAGATGGCAGGGAATAATCCCAGGATGTTTTAAACTGATTGGTGCTTTGGAACATGGCTTTTATGGTGATTTAATGGTGATTTAATGGTGATTTAATGGTGATTTAATGGTGATTTAATGGTGATTTAATGGTGATTAATGGATATTAACAAAAAAACTGATGTTTTAAACTGATGTAAACCACTGTAATGGGACTGATTGAGATGACTTCCCACATGTTTATACATGTTTGGGATGGGTTTTCCACAACCATCAGATCCAACCTGTATCTGATTGGTGCTTTGGAACATGGCTTTTATGACTTTCCATATATATTGGGAATGTCATAATCCCAACTGACGAGCTCATATTTTTCAGAGGGTAGGCTCAACCACCAACCAGTAAATGATGTAAAGCGATTTTCCATTGCTATGTGTGGTTACCGAAAGGTTCTGAAAATCGATTCCATCAGACATGGAGCAAGGTATTTTGACAGACTGGTGTGAGACCAAGTGGCTGGCAGGATGATATTGCTGACGTGTTGGAAGGAAACACAGACTACGAACGCACAGGGGATGCAGTGGAGGACGCAGACTGTGGGTAACGCGGCATGGTGAAGTCATGAAGTCCAAGGAAATGATAGATGAATTCCATCCGTTGTGGCTTGAGAACCGGGAAGCATGAAGCAGCTTGAAACATTCGTTTCACAAAAATCCTTGGTGCGGTAATTAGTCGAGGGATTATGAATCATATTGATCTACCCCTGACAAAATTGCTGATCCTTGGGGATTACCCTCTGGTAAACTAACATAGCTATGGAAAATCAACATGTTTAATCGTTAATTCAGCTATAAATGGCCCATTTTCAATAGCCATGTCAAATTACCAGAGGTGTATCGTAAACCAGTATCATGCCGTGCCTGGAGCAGGACCAAATGTTGAAACACAAGAAGGGCTGCAACAAGCACTTCAAGGCGCCAGCCGTGGATGCGCCAACATGCGCCAACAGGCATCGCTCCATATGTACCATGTTCCTCAATTTGGGTGATGGTCATTAATCCGTTAATAGGCATCTATTGCATATGTATGAGGATATATGATATATATATATATATACATATGCATAATATATATATATATATATATGTGTGTGTGTGTTTGGGTGCATAAGAATGCACCTTTACAAATTTAACTACAATCCCACTGTGGGATGGATGACAATATCACATAGACATACAAAGAACCATGTTTTTTTTTGGGACCATGGCACATATAATGATGGGCCGGGTCAACACGTGGTTAATATTGGATGCTCTCCTGTACTCAACTTGGAAGCGGGACATCCCCTTGTGATGTGGTTGTTTGAACATGGGGCACCCTCAATTCCCACAGATGATCTCCGATGATCATCATTTGTCCTGCATAGCCACTTTTGGGCTATACCCCATGTTTCTTCAGATGCCCATTTGTTTCTATCTATATCTATATCTATATTTTATATTCCATATTGTATGTTCTATATTCTATACTCTATACCTATCTATATAATATACGTTTGTACAATATAATAGAAAATAATATAATATAAAATAATATATATCTATATATGGGATTTCCCAGGGATTTTAAGCACGGGGCCAGGGACCTGGCTCAGGACGATTTGGTGGCTGAGGGCTTTATGCTGAGACCATGCAAGGAGGTGCGCAACCGCAATTGGTCCGAACGGTGCGTTTTCTAAAGCGAAATGACCGGTTTTAGCAACAGCAGTGGAGTAGAAGTGATTTAAAACCCACACTTTAAAACGGAAAAACGGGTGATACACTAATTATACACCACTGGATCTTCAGTAATTAATTACAGTAAGTAGTGGAATGCGGTGGAGCATTAAATGATGAGTAACATGGGCGATTTTAAGTGGCCTATCCAGTTAGGAGGCAGCCAAGGAGCTAGATTCAGCCATGCTTGGGGTGATTGAGATGACTTCCCACATGTTTGGGATGGGTTTTCCACAATCATCAGATCCAACCTGTATCTGGTTGGTGGTTTGGAACATGTTTTATTTTTCCATATATTGGGAATGTCATAATCCCAACTGACGAGCTCATATTTTTCAGAGGGGTAGGCTCAACCACCAACCAGTAAATGATGTAGTGGGGCTAAAGTGGTAGGTGGGTAGGTATACCACCAACCAGGTATGTATTCTGTTAATATTGTGTTAGTCTAATCTTCCCGCCAAGTGACTAACCAAGGATCTCACCGGCTCGCTTGGATCACCTCAGGTGGCTCCAGAGATCAAGAACGACACGTCCCCATGTACCTTGGCCGCTGAAGGTCCATCTGGACATTGGAGGTTTCAGGGCTGCTTAAATGACTAGGCCGTTGGCCATTGCTGCTTAATTACTTGATATCAATTTTCAGGATGCCTCACCCAAATTTTGCCAAATGTTTCTGGATTGCATGTATAGATATCCACGAGTGTGTTTATGCCGCGTCCCCGTAGTCTCTAGAGTCCAAACATACCCGATCTCAACGAACATCCCGGTGAAGGGACAGCTGGACGTCGCCGGAGGTCTGTGGCAAAGCCCTGAGAAACCGAGCAAACAAGCAGTGGACACGTACGAGGCCTCATGCCTGTCAGAGTAGCGCAGATCCGAAGATTGATGAAGATTGGTACTTTGAAATGCATGGAAATTGGATGAAATTGGTACTTTGGTAGTTTCATATGTGTGTTTACTTTCCATTCTTAGCTCCGCTCTATGGGCGGATCACCAGATATCACCAGTGATCAGCAGATGTGTCAGGGTTTTCAACCACCAAGCTGCCAGGGTGCTCCCCAAATGTTAAGATCCAACCAAGCATGAGGCGCTACACTTGGTTTATAATCCCATCCTGCGGAAAAACACCATCACCACATATATCACAAATTGTATAGTTATAAGATGTTATAAGTTATAACCCAACAAAAAGTATACCATAAATCGTAGTTAAGCTAAGTTAAGCTATATAATTATGGTTTTTGCCCAACGATGGTATAACCCAACTTACCTATCCAGACGTTCCCCCATCTTTGGAGCACTGTTGGATTTCCCAAGCTACACGTCAGCTACTGTCCAGACAGGTTTGGAAGGAAGGCGTTTTCTATGCCACTTGGCTCAAGAAACAGTGACTTTGGAAAGGGCTGTTTGGAGTTATAGGGTCTCAGCTAAAAGGAAGAGTGGTTCCATCTATGCATTTCTTGAAGATAATTTACTTTCTTAGATTTTATGTCCATGTTGTTTCTCTTTTGGGACCCCTATACCCTCCGGCAGTCTAGCATGGCTGGCGGCAGAGCCTGGGGAGACCAAGCTCCACTTGAGGATTTCTTGCACAGATACCCCAGTATACTCCATGAGCATTTGTGAAACGCTGTCAAAAACACTATTTGAACCACCATCATTTCCACCCCCTCCAGTTTTGGTAGATGATACCCTCTGGTTATGTCAAAATAGCTATTGAAAATTACCATTTATAGTGGATTTTCCCATTGAAAATGATGGATCTTTCCATAGTTTTTTGTATGTTTACCAGATGATATTGCCTTGATTGTTGATTCAATCTGGTAATATCATCTGGTAAACTAATAATCTAATATAACATCAGTGCCAAAGACAATCTTGATTGTGATAACTTGATTGTAATGATCAATCCTAATATCATCTATAAATGGGCCATCTATCCCATGGCTATGTTAGTCATAACCAGAGGGTAGATGATTGATCACAACTTAACTGCTTCCCATGAACTTCCCATGTGACATCCGTCGAGGCGTGCGAGCAAAGCATCTCGCATCACACGGACGCCTTGTCCGAAGCCTTGGTTCCCCGGTGGCACCAGTGGCGGCGCCGTTGATGACCTCCCTGAGCAAGATATATGGATATGTATACATATATAAAAAAAACATATAGTTATTTCTACATGTGTATATAATATATATATATAATTATATATATATATTGATATATTATATATATATGGGCCCAAATCAAGTTGGGTTTATCAATGCTGTGGGCGTGCATGGATGCAAACATGCACGCACATCGTAGGTAGCATGCAATTTTTATGTACCACAGTAATTGGGCAAACATCCCTGAGGATCCACATTACCTTGTTATATGTATATATATATGTATATCATTTAAATTATATATATATATATTATATATATATATATTATATATATATATATTATATATATATGTATATATATATGTATGTACACGCGTATTTGTATTGATGACTTTCCCATTAGGGGGTACTGTAATATAATTTTGAACGATAAAGTCCAAGTTTTGGTGGTGAAGCCTGGATGTTTGATGGCAGCTTTTAGGTTGATGATGTCTCCTGCAATCAATCTCCTCTTCTTGTAGCTTTGAACGCTGCCCTTGGTGATTACTGAATCCATGAGCCGGACATGCCCATTCACCAACCGTTACTTCGGCCGATTTCCCCCCATTAGGTGTCCACACTACATGGGATTATATGAAGAAACAGCATACAAAACCATGTGCAACCATGACCACATTATAAAAGTCCATGATTTGGGGATTTTCTTGCCACTGTTCACTTCCTAAAAGGGGTGAAAACACCATTTTTGTGATTCCTTTGTCCCAGGCGGAACGCCTGCGGGGCCAGCGTGATGTGAACCTGACAGAGGTGGCGCAGCAGGCGTCAAGCCCGGTGGAGGATCCCCGTTTTTTGGGCGGAGGGAGATATAGATTGGGGTAGATTAGAATAGATGGATGACCTGATTTCAGGTCTGTGAATTATAGAATCGATGGATGGAATCTGTTGTTTTTTTTTGGGATGTCCATCATTTTTGATGATGAATCTGTTGCAAACTGCAGACCGACAGGCATGCCAGAAGGTCGCCAAGTGCGAGTCTGTGAAGAAAGCCAAGGATGATGGAGATGAAGGGCTGGGGATGCATTCCATGTTGCCCCTCATTAATTGGAAAAGTATGGAAACGTGATGTCTACGTCTATATATGTCTATATATATATATTGATCTATTTGTGCACTATCTATTTGTCCATCTATCTACCTGATCTCCATATATAATATGTATATATATTATATGTTTCTTTCTTTCTTTCTTTCTTTCTTTCTTCTCTGTCTTTCTTTCTTTCTTTCTGAATTTCTTTCTGACCTTCTCGATCTATCCATCTATCCATCCATCCATCGACCTATCATCTATCCTTTTTAAATGTATTATCATTCCATCCCTACCTATGATCCTATATGAGTTATGGTCACATTGTTCTTTGGCGCTCTGCCACTGCATAGTACAGACTGTAGGAGGCGAAGCCGCCTCCAGCGGGTGCAGGCGTGGGACAAGGTGATATCCACATGGATCTTGATGGTTAGATACCGGGGTAGCTGGTAACTATCCCAAAAATGACCTTACCCTCTGGTAATTTGTTACATAGCTATTGAACAGGGCCATAGAAATAGTGGATTTACCCATTAAACATGGTGAATCTTTCCATATCTATGTGAAATTGCCAGAGGGTAATTCAGCTTAGCGATCCATCAACGAGTCTATCTTGGCAGCTGATGATTGAAGATTATTGAATATGCCTCAATCAAATTCGATCAATTGTTCAAATCCAGCCTGGGTTTGAAAGCTTCAACCCACTGGTCACTCCCAGAATTTAAGAGTGGGAGCTGGGAATAGCTGGGAGGTTCTTGTTGGAAGATGAATCAAGTGGCCCAAATCAACTTGCCAAATGCAATGCCGACTTCAATCAGCTACTGGCTAGCATGATTGCCAGTGAAGTGTTCCTCCTTTGTGCAGGCTCCACATCCCAAGCCCCAAAGAAGGGCAAGGCTGGTGGTGAAACAAGCAGATTGCAGCAAGGGGGGTTCAAAAATGTTGATGTTCTATCCTTTCCAGAGACTTCACAGGATTTTTGAATTCCTCTCGAATCCAATTCACAGACACGCGATGTGCACATGCATTTAGGGTTGCTACATTTATTCGATGGGGTCGAAGCGCCAGTTCTCCCTTGCGAAGCCGACCTGCCCAGGGCTCCAAAAAGGAATTGTGATCTGCGGAGCGTTGCAAAGATGGCGGCCACTGGCGAAGGGAGTAAATTCGTAAATTCGCCATGTTGGAGTTGATTTGAATGAGGAAATCCTGAAGGTTCGATGATCTCGATGGATGGATGACCATTACCAATTCATTACCATACTTACGCACTGTGTTTTTTTTTGTTCTTTGCACCATGGCAGGGCGCTACTGTATTTTTGACGGCCTGCTGGACTGAGTCTCCAAACCTGAGCTCTGCCGATATCTGCCGATAGGCTATCCCTTGCCAGTTGTGTGTGACTCACTAGAGTCAAATTATTGAACCTAAACTCTGATCCTTTTCAAACGCCGTACACGAGCTCTGGATGTACTGGTAATGATGCACCAATAACAACCCTGCAGTTGGAAAAACTCTTCCAAAATCTTGCAAGTACTTTCTGGCAAACATACAGGCAAGGGCACCAAGAGTGTCTTCACTGGAGACAGCACCGCTGCGAGGTTGAGCCCTTCGAACTCAGAGGCCCAAGCCAGGGCATGCCAAGGCTCAAGAACATGCAACAAAAAGAACACGGAAACCATCATAAACCAACCAAAACGTCCAAGATTGCAGGTTCAACATGGTTCAACAGCTGTTGGTCATCTTGCTGTAGCACTTACAGCTGTATTTGAAGTCGTAGCATTGGCTGCAACTACCGGACGGGACTTCATCACCAATCCCCCAACTTATTTGGTCCCGCATTGCTGCCATGGATGCTTCGGAAGGCCAGCCGCATGAGCTGCTAGCGCAACAATTGGAAGGTAAGGGCGCGGCTGACTGGAGGTCGGGGTTTGAACAATTCTTTCGATTCAAACCCCAAACTGAACATCAGCGCGAGGGGGAGGAGGCTGGGTGTTGGCAGTGTCGAGTCGTCAACTATCCTGGCTATGAAGAAAGCGAAGATCTATGGGGCGGCTGGCGCAACAGCAAGGGGGCGGCGGAAGTTGATGCTTTTCGCCAGGCCTTCAAACATCTTCCTCAACCCACTGCAACTGGCAGCTCAAGTGGAAGTTATGCAGCGGCCTCGGGAGCCCAACCTGTAGTTCCTTCTGAGTCACCTCCAGATGCTGAGACAAATGCTCTACCTGAAGCCACTAGCTCCAGTTCAGGAGCGCCTCGCAAGTGATACAGTGATACCCTGAATATTCTTTGGTCATCTTTGGTCAATATTGGGTACAAATTCCTGTCCAGGGATGTCCAGGGCAAATTTTGGTGTGATTCCGTATGATTCCGTCAATTAAACTCCGGTTTATCTTTTTGACATCTTTTTGCATCATTTTCAAAATCATTGCATTTTAAACATGCCCACTCAAAAACTATTATAGCTATTGTTTCTCAGTCGCGTTGACTCCGCATAGGCATTTCCGTCCTTTTCTCCTGCGTTTCCGTCCAACAAAATGGAGTCTTTTGGCACGTAGTAAAGTAAGGTCAGCCAAAAGACACTGCCAAAGATAACGTTGACCAAACCAAGTCCCTTCCAGGAAACCCGAGGGCAGAAATGTTGCCAACAGCTCTTTGATAATATGAGTTATGTCAATTTATGTGTCGTTTCGAAGATCCAGGTGTGGGCTGGGGCATGTAAATCCTATGAAATTCCGTGGAACATGCACGTTACCAGGGTTTACAGTATGAGTTATTATTGATAGGCAACTGAATGTGTAATAGAGCTTGATGTGGATGTTTCCAGTCGCTCCCAGTGGCAGGACCTCAGCTACTCTATCGCAAGAACCAGACCGAGGAAGTGCCAGCTGAAGTCCTCGATGTGGTGGATGCATTTGAGCAAGCCCCCTCTGCTCGAGGTGCCCTCGATGTCTTGGAAGTTTGGAGAGCAGACGTTCCTCAGGATCTCAAACAATCATGGGAGACAGAGAAGCGAAAACTGCAGGATCGAAACAGGAATCCAAATATGAAAAAGACTAGCTGGCAAGATCAGGAGCCAGGCAAGGATGGTATAGACATTGACATGGACGCAACGAGAGCGGCATGCCTCCGTAGAGAACGTGAAGAAGTTGCGTGGCAGTTGCTTTCTGTATCTCACAAACATGAAGGGGGTGCAAGAAGCTGTCGTGTCTACCATGGATGCCCCGACTGGAAGGTTGCTCAGAGTATTTGCCACACCGGCTTCGCGGCAAATCTTGCAAAGACCAAAGGTTGGTTCGGAGAAGGCCTCTACTCAACATTGAATGCACCCTATGCTTTGCGCTATAGCCTTGGTATGTCGGACTTCTGGGAGAAGCCTGGTGCAGAAGGCTGGGTGATTGCTGCCAAGTTGGTTTATTCACAGGTATATCCGGTCACTGTGGCAGATGACAGTACTCCTTTGATTTCAGAACCGGGTCTCAAAGGCCGTCGAATTGGTGCGGCTGACGGGGCTAGAGGTTGCGATTGCCAGTTTGTTTGCGTCCGAGGACATCCTCCCAATGCCAAGCACAAAAACCGACACTATCTTGCTTGCAAACCGGGTGAGAGGCCGGAAGCCACTGAGATTGTAGTAGACCAAGAGGCTCGGATATTGCCAGAGTACTTGGTGAATGTTCAGGTGAGCTGGGGGTGGAGCCGGCACTACCGATCTGTGAAGGAAAGCAAGAAACCTGACACAGACAGGATGGCAAGTCATTGAATATAAAGTTTATAAAGGGATATATACATAGGAGCCTGAAAAGATAGACAATGAAAGACACAAGAAATGCAAACAGTGAGGAACGCAAGATTATTTGATTTAACTGGACAGTCCGAAACAACATGAACCAGACAGTGTCCCATCAAAGGACCATCGTTCCTTGATCAATTTTCTAACATACAGACAGACAGACAGACAGACGGACAGACGGACGGACAGACAGACAGACAGACAGACAGACCGGTTTTCATGATCAGTCACTTGTACTTAAAACATAATCTTAACGTATCTTAAAACATCTTCACGCATATCTATAATATTCTATAATTACTTTCCATGATTTTGGTAGCTGGCATCTTCTTGCATCTTGTTGCCAGGTCACAGGTGACGCGAAGCTTTGCAAGAGGATTCAACTGGCTTCTGAGCACTGGGGGCGGCCCATGGCTTCAAACCAGGACACGGCCTTGGAGACGAATGGCTCCACGAAGATTCTGCAAAATACAGTGAATTCCGTGCAGAAATTGGAGACTCTGGCGAGGAAAAAACCTGTGAAGAACGGATCCGCCAGAACACAAGATGACAACCTGCACATCGATATTCAGTACAAGTTCGCACAGGTAGATGATCACTTTGTTGCAGAAGTCCGTGTGTTAGGCAGAGATTTCCAAGGATACCCGCAGCCACGGAAGCAAGCGGCAAAGCAGTCTGCCGCACAAGTTGCAATCAAGGAGCTCCAGCCTGATGCAGAAGGCTAGACGTGAGCACTTTTCCTGGCAGCTGTGGGTAGATGACAGCTCTTGGTTTTCGTATCATCGTTGGTCCAGACTGTCCTTCTTGTTCTCAGGGTGTCATGGATTGCCATGGTCCCTGCTACTGACTTTAAGCTGGCTGGTGGTTTCAAACATTTTTTATTTTCCACAAGACGAGGGAAATCCTTCCCATTGACTAATATTTTTCCAAGATGGTTAAAACATGTTAAAACCACCAACCAGAGAATCTTTAAGATCTGCTGAGCACTTTGAGGCGCTCTGCTGAGCAGTTCCGCCTTTTTTTTGTGCAAAAATCGTGTAATTCGTGTCACGACATGATCGGAGATCATAGGTTGGGGGACTGCATGGCACTGTGCAATGTAGTGTGCCAAAAGATGCTACAAGTGGTGAGTAATGGCGGGTATGCTTCTGACATCTTCTGACTTCCCCTCGCATTGTAAATATTATACATACTTATACAATATATATATATATATAGATATATATACACCTAATGAGTATGAACATGGGCTGTTTCAATGCACCTTGTCTCACCCGGCAAATAGGTGCATGTGAAATTTGCTGTTTTTCTCCTGCTGGGTTGAAATGATTCGCTAGGTAACAGTTGCAACATCACTGGGAAGTGCTTCACTTATTTTCGCACATTCTGTAGACATGGAGGCCACTTGCCATGACTTGCCGGTGCATTTTACATTCATTTACAACTCAGCTTCCCGTCACACAGAAGTTACTTAAAATAATAAGACATTGCCCGAAGTTCATGGTTGATGCTTTTCTGTAGTTGTTCTGTAGCGAAGGTGCCATTGATCATGGTTGCAACACGCAGAAGTCCATGGTTGAAACACGTTGGAGCTGGAGAAAGCCGTGATTTCTGGTTGTTTTGCAGCGGCTTCCCGGGCTGCAGTGTCGCCATGGGGCGCATGCCTCAGAATCAGCGGGATTTTGGAGCTGAGACTGATGGATCCAATAGCAAAAACCCAGGAAAGATCGGGAAAGATCGTGATATTTATACATATTTTATACATATTTACTGGTCTGAAGATGATTGCAGGGCTATTTGTATTGGGTTTATGATGACCTATGACCGTCATGGGCCCCCCATTCATATGTCAACTATCTTCAGTTCCAGCGCCACATCGCGAACGAGGCCGAATGGCCAAGCTCCCATCTATTTGGATTACAATGGCTGCTCAGCTGCGAAAAAACTTGGGCATAAACCCATGAAATCTGCATTTTGTTGGTGATATCTTCAAATTACCGTTCAAAACCTGGTCGAATTCCCATTGCTGGCCAGCAAAAACATCCCATTTGTTGGTAACGATGCATCCACCGTCGTTGGCGGTCCAATCCCTATGATTTAGATCATGTTTTTGCCAATCATGTTTGTTGCCTAAATTCTAACTTCTGCATGCTAGTTCAACCACCAGTTGTGCTCGATCTTCAATGCTGCTTCCCACCGGATTCAATCTATCCCACTGGTGATCCCCCGAAATAACACATGGATAATCCCTTCTTTGCGGTTGTGGTTAATAATCTCTTAATAACTTAACCACAATTACCATGATTCATCAATAGATATTGATATTCATTATATCATTATGTACTATGTACCATGTTTTTTTTGTGATTAAATCATTAAATCCCCCATTTTTGATGGTTGAATGGAGATGAACCTCCAGATGATTGGTCGAAATCACCACAGTTTTCGTTGGCCAACAGCACCTCCCTGCTGGAAGGCACGACGCCAATTGACCCGGAAGTGTGCCAAGCGATGTCGCTGATGATGCGGGGCCACCTAGGAGGAAGCGCTCGTGGAACTGTGGAACTGGACTGAAACAAGGTGGGAGATTATAAATATCTTAGCCATATTAGCTATATTTCTGAAAATTACATATTTTTCAAAATCTATAGATAACTAAATCTATATGAGCTAATATTATACAATATTATACATGTACGATAATATTATCTATTTGTCTATGGATAGATAGAAGGATAGGATAGGAAAGGAAAGGAAAGGAAAGGATAGGATAGATAGAACCAATTTTCTGTTATTTTCATCAAACTGATCTTGTCTGGCGTCTGGCTAGCATCATCTGAATTTTGATGTGCTTATGTGCTTCGGCCCAATAATTTTCCCACAGGGGATGGTGGCCATTGTTGGGTGATCGAAGCTGATTCAGACTCGATGTGAACACCAAAATATACCCGTTGCTTGCTCCCAGCTGAGATCTAGGAGCTCCAGCCCCTGGTGTGCATGGCTATTTTTTAGGTTTTTTAGTAAATTTGACGATAGGTCCCTTGATTTTATTTGCAGACATGCTAGATTTTATCTCGATCCTATGTGTGAGATAAATTCCAAGGGGCCTGACCCCCCTAGGTCCCCTCAAGGGTACTCGCTTCCAAAGAGGACCCAAAGGGGGGTCCAGCCCTTGGATTTTATCTCATTCATTCTCATTCCAATTTCAGGTCAGGCCCGTTGATTTTATCTTTGGAAGGTTGGGTTTTTGAATTTTATTTGTGTCCTACTTGAGGCTTGGTACCTATCTTATTTTCAGATGTCAGCCCCTTTCAATTTAGGTCCAACCTACACCTTTGATTGGATAGGAAGAAACAGCAACCTTGAGTGATGAAATTGATGAAATCCCCTGCAAAATTGGCGTCAAACTGCAAGGTGCATGAAGTTTATTTTGTTGAGCATTGCTGCCATGTTTATCAAACTCACCGTTACACATTTCCTCACCTTGAAACCTTATTGTTTTTGAACTTTCAGGTCAAGATATGTCAAGATATTGAATTTGACCCAAACAAAAAGGCTGCCAAATCCTGTACTTCTTCTGTTCCCGGATAGCTGCTTCGACCAAGCGGGGCGAAGCTTGGAGGAAAAACCAAGAAGAAATAAAATCTATGTCCCCAACCTTGATAGATGAACCCCTCTGCAAAACTGGCAGCAACCACAGGTGCACATTTTTTTCTTGGGAAACGTGTGACATGTTTCTCAGCTTTCGCACCACGGAAACGGAAACCATGTCAATATTATCTCCTCTTGAAATCAATTTTTTGTTGAACTTTCACATCAAGGACAAATATTGAAATTGATCCAAAAAACACGCAACCAAATCCTGGATACCAACGTCTCACCCGGTCCACCTTCAGCTCCCGGATAGCTGCTTGGACTTAGAGGGGTGCTAGGCTAGAAATGCAGGAAATAAAACCTGTGTCCCCAACCTTGAGATATCAACCCCTCTGCAAGTCAGCATCAAAACAACTTGCACTAAGTTTATTTACTTGGGACGGTTCTGAAATTTTTAACCTTTATATTTATATATCAAATTTGCAAAACAAAAAAATACTTTACTTCGTGTGATCCCCACCATGACATTTATACATTTTGTTACTGGCAAATCTTCTGGCATTCTATCTGACATATTTTCTGGCATTCGATCTGGCATTCTATCTGGCATATCTTCTGGCATTCTACCTGGCATATCTTCTGGCAGATGTTCTGGCATATCTTCTGGCAGATGTTCTGGCATATCTTCTGGCATATCTTCTGGCATATGTTCTGGCATATCTTCTGGCATTCCATCTGGCATTCTATCTGGCATATCTTCTGGCATATTATCTGGCAAATCTTCTGGCATTCCATCTGGCATTCTATCTAGCATATCTTCTGGCATATTATCTGGCAAATCTGCTGGCATTCTATCTGGCAAACATTCTGGCACTTTATCTGGCATATCTTCTGGCATTCTAGCTGACATTCTATCTGGCATACCTTCTGGCATTCTATCTGGCATATCTTCTAACATTCTATCTGGCATATCTTCTGGCACTCTATGTGGCATATCTTTTGGCGTGGATACTCGCGGTTGAGGTCCGGCAGGGAACACTGGGCGTGGATGGTCGTGGTTGAGGTCCGGCAGGGAACACTGGGCGTGGATGGTCGTGGTTGAGGTCCGGCAGGGAACACTGGGCGTGGATGGTCGTGGTTGAGGTCCGGCAGGGAACACTGGGCGTGGATGGTCGTGGTTGAGGTCCGGCAGGGAACACTGGGCGTGGATGGTCGTGGTTGAGGTCCGGCAGAGAACACTGTGGATCGCGGGTCGCAGTTGAGCAAGGACGACGAGGACGACGAGGACGACGAGGAGGACGAGGAGGAGGAGGCGAGGAGGAGGACGAGGAGAAGGAGGAGGAGGAGGACGAGGAGGCAACTGACATAAAATCTAACAACCCTCACCTGGCAGGTGGGGAAAAAAAATACTTTACTTCGTGTGATCCCCACCATGACATTTATACATTTTCTTACTGGCAAATCTTCTGGCATTCTATCTGACATATCTTCTGACATTCTATTTGACATTCTATCTGGCATATCTTCTGGCATATAATCTGGCATATCTTCTGGCATATCTTCTGCATATTCTTCTGGCAGATGTTCTGGCATATCTTCTGGCATATCTTCTGGGATATGTTCTGGCATATCTTCTGGCATTCCATCTGGCATTCTATCTGGCATATCTTCTGGCATATTATCTGGCAAATCTTCTGGCATTCCATCTGGCATTCTATCTAGCATATCTTATGGCATATTATCTGGCAAATCTGCTGGCATTCTATCTGGCAAACATTCTGGCACTTTATCTGGCATATCTTCTGGCATTCTAGCTGACATATCTTCTGGCATATGTTCTGGCATACCTTCTGGCATTCTATCTGGCATATCTTCTAACATTCTATCTGGCATATCTTCTGGCACTCTATGTGGCATATCTTTTGGCGTGGATACTCGCGGTTGAGGTCCGGCAGGGAACACTGGGCGTGGATGGTCGTGGTTGAGGTCCGGCAGGGAACACTGGGCGGGGATAATCGCGGTTGAGGTCCGGCAGGGAACACTGGGCGTGGATGGTCGTGGTTGAGGTCCGGCAGGGCACACTGACGTGGATGGTCGTGGTTGAGGTCCGGCAGGGAACACTGAGCATGGATGGTCGTGGTTTGAGGTCCGACAGAGAACATTGTGGATCGCGGGTCGCAGTTGGACGAGGACGACGAGGACGACGAGGACGACGAGGA